ATGGGGACAGCTGGGGAGGGCAAGGAACCACAGCAGTATGGGTGCAGAAGGTTGACACAGAATGCAAGTCCACGCTCAGGTCAGCTTCCTATGACCCTCTCCTCCAGTGTGCACAGGGAACAAAGTGAGGAGCATAACCCAGTCTCTGCCATAATACCACTGAAACCAAATCAGTTCTGTGAGACATTTACACACTTACTTACTGTAGAAAAGGGCAGCAAACTCAACAAGAGCTCTCCATTATAATCGTACTGTGAAGATGCTGACCACGTGGTGTTCTGAAATGGGTCCAAAGCAGGGCACAATTTCCTGCTTTCCTTTACATGCAGCTGCTCAGGGTCCAGCACTCTCATCCTCCCAAAAAAGGAAGCACCCTTCTGAGGATGCAGCCTCAGGTTGAACTGTAGAAGCAAAGGAAAGGATCTCACTCCACTGCAAGCACAGCAAAAAGAGGGGGTTCCTCGCACAGGAGAAAAGCCAAGATATCCCTGGAGTAATTCCAGAGGCTTGCAGGCTGAGGTAGTTTTACAACATCACAGAAACACGACATCTTATTTTTCAAGAGTCCTCACTGTAGGTTAGTGCCTTCTGTTCTTTCTTTTCAATACAAATTTGTTAAGGAGTGTTGAAACCAACCTCTTACTAAAATTTGTCTGTGCCAACTTACCACTTTTTTTTTTTGTTTAAAGTAGTATTTTCTTCTGTATCAAATTCTGTTCATAGATGGCTAAAATAGATTTTAAAAATGGGAGTATTTGTCAAGCAATGTTTAGGAGCAAGCATCATTTTTTGCCATTTAACCACCATAACAAGCATATACTGAGCAGACAGTCTGAATAAAATTCCATTGTATAGAATCATCCTCCTTTATGAATTATATTTTTTATGGCAGATTTATGCCTCTGACAGAGAAAATTCAATACATGGCTGTATTTCTATTACAGATACAGTCTTCTGCTAGCCAACAGATAAGCTTTTTATCAGCAGCCATGCTTCTGTGGCACTCTCCTGGGCTCCTGCCAAGCTCTGCCTTCATTCCTTTCATGAACAGATCAATGTGCAAACATTTGAAAACCTTAAATAACATAATAGCTACTTGAATGCATGCCCAAAAAAAGCCCCAGAACCAAACCGATTTCAAAACTGCTACACCAACATAATGTACCTAAAGCAAATCTACAAAACCAAGGAAAGGAGGGAAGGCAGTTGCACATACCTACCATTTCCAAAGCTGCCCTGCCCCACAGTTTGTATACATCAGCTTTTCCCCTAAGCCATGGTGGGACCCCACCTTCCCATGCCTCTTTGCCACATCACCGCTCAAACAGAACATGCAACACCAGCATCAGCCAGAGATGGTAATGTTGGGAAGAAAAGTCAGGGTAAAGAATGTGAGGAAGAACAAGTAGAGAGGAGAGATCACAGTGTGGTGTGTTGTTTGTTATGCATAAGAACAATATTTGGAGGGGGTACATGTATCAAAACACAGAGCCCCTGGTTAGTGTTCCAGTCTAAAATTCAGAGATGACCGGCAGCTGCATTGTCCACAGTCGCTGTCAAGGGTAATTGAGCACCATGCATTTATAAGGAAGCAGCAAGACTCTTCACCTTCCACTGCCACAGAAACAGATGACATTAGCCCATTTTGTCTTCTCTGCTCTTGTGAACTATCTCTTTGGTCTCCTTTTTGTAATGGAATAAGCACCTGTGGAAAGAAGTTTCTTTTATTCTCTGTTACCCTTGAGAGGATGTGTGCTTGGAGTGATACCTGTTAGCAGGAGCGATGCTGGAATACTAGAATCAAAAAGTTCCCCATTGGGAAACAGTGGTGGTAAAATAGGAAAACAGAAGAAAGTGAAGTGACCTTGGTGGACAGCCATTGAAGGAAAAAACTGAGAAAAGAAACAGGGAAAACTGATGGGAAAGGGGTTAACGTGTGAGGGCAATATGACTTATAAAAGGGTACAAAAAATGGAACATGAAAACATGCACCTTCCCCCCAAACAAAAACCCAAACAACAAACGTAAGCATACGCAATAAAACAACAGACGTAAAAAGATGAATCAAATCTCTCTCCTTACTGAGGGGTTGTACTGCCTTATCTTTTTTTTATACAAGCTTATAAATAAATTTCATTAGCTTTTTTCCTGTCAGGGGGGATATAAAAGATGCTAATAAGTTCTTACAGAAGGTAAATAGTTTAAGGGGATGATACTAGTGATACTGAAGTATTAAATTAAAGATCAAAGCCAGGACTGCCAGAATAGGGTTTCTAGGTTATCTATATACTATTACAGCTCTAAAAGATTAAAGACTCATTTGAACATAAAAAGATGAAAAATCATAGGGATCATCTCCATTATAAAAATGGCTTGATTACAAAACACCGTAAAGGCCTGATTCTCTCAGGCTCAGACTGAGCCTGTGCTTTATGAACAGCTCCATTAAAATTAGTGGGATTGACTTGGTGTGATCTGTTTCTCAGCAAAAATAAGGGTTTCCAAAGTCAGTCTGCTCAAGCTCAGTGGCATTTTTCAACACTTCAGTCAGTTTGTGTTCTGGCTTCTGGAGCAGTAAGGATGACAGCAGCCTTTTGGCTGGTCACCTCCATTGTCATCAGCAGTGCAGTTAGTTATACAGATAAATATTTGTCATAAGGAGTGAAACCTGTGCTCTGCAACTTAAGCCCATCAGACCATCAAGTATTGTTACAGTAGGTGGTAGTTCCACCAGCAGTCCCTGGTGCCATAGGGATGAAGGTTTCTGCATTCAAACTCTATAATTCCTTGGAAACAAGAGCTGTTTTGGGATGAGTGGGATAAGTAAACAAGTGCACTAGGCCACGCAGCTCTCCCTGCTCTCAGAGCCACAGCAATCATGGGTATAAACATTTCAGACATACTGCTGAAGTAGGTGAAAAAAGACCCTGAATGAAGTAAAAGTCAAACCATAGTATTGAGAAGACCAGATTGTTGTTTGTTTTTTTTTTTGCCTCTGTTTCTGTTTTGCCTCTGTTTTTTTTGCCTCACCTGTTATGGGAATGTACTCTCAGGCCAAATCAGGCTTGTGGAGAGGACAAGTAAAGCTCAGTTTGAAAGAGGGTGGTTGTACTTTAGAGATGGTGCTTCTCATTTCCCTCTGTAGTCAAGCACAAAGAGCTCCAGGTCTTTACATAAACTCTAGAGTAGCGTTCAAAACAGAAATGTAAAATTCAGTACATTAGAAGTTGTAAGCCCCAGCTAAGAAGTAGGTATAAAGGAGAGCTGGTTTTTCTTTACATTTCCACCAGATCTTTACACTTCCACCAAATCTTTACATTTCCACCACCTTCTGTCTGATATCTCCAGTTTTGCTCAGATGTCTCAGACCTGCTGCTACCATTACAAATGTTATGATCACTGGTGGCTAACACACAGACCAGGTAGAGAAAGAAAGCAAAACTGGAGGAAAAAGCTACAGTGACTCCCTAATAATTTTTAGGATTATGGCTTCCAACATAGACTTGAAATCTGTGACTTGGATTCACCTATAGGTCTGAAGGAATCCTTAGCATGCATCCATTCCTGCTGCTGACAGATGGCAGAGCAGAGAAGGACGACTATGAAGATAACAGCATTTCACGCACAGCTTTGTCTTGCACTGTAGTAGCATAAGGTTGCTGTGAAATCGATGGTGTTTCAGAACATTTCTTGCACTGCCAAGGTTTCTGGCTGGAGGTAGCCCAAACACACAGTCTAGAAACTCTCAGTCTCAGCACAGAGGTCACACAAAAGAAGATTCCTAGCCAGAAGACAGGCAGGTTTATGTGGGTCAGAGCTGTTTCTTTTTGTGCCACGGGCCCTGCCTGCCCTTTCCACCTTGAACTGGGGAACTACAAAGCTTTAAGCCCCTCAAAACTTTCCCCCCCCTTAGCTTGTCAGGAAGGTGGCTAGGCAAGATACAGGAAGGAAAACTGTGGAAAGACTGAAAAAACCTGAAAGCTTTAATATATTCCTACTCTCTGTCCCCATTTCTCCTTTTCCAGGCATCAACAGTTTTAATAATCTGGAAAAAGCAAAACCTGAAACTGGAAAATCCTTTCTTAACCAGTGTCACAAAAATGCTCATCATATACTGAGAAACATTATGGTGAGAGGCAATGCATTTAATACGTTCTCTCTCTTTCTTTAGCTCTGCATTTGTAAAATAGCTACTCTGAAACAAACAACTTGCATTTTAGAACAAATAAAAAATTAGGATCTGCTTACGGAACCAAAGTTAATACAGAAGGGGCTTTTAAACAAGGTAGATGAACAAATAAATAAATAAAGCAGTGAAATCACTCTTACTTGTAATCTCTCTCCACTACAAAAATAAACCACTGCTACATCTACGCTAAGCATATGTAGAGTAAACAAAACAGATGGAGGATTTCCCACTGCTGGTTCCTTTCTTCTAAGGATGGTTATTTTCAGTTCATAAACTCTCAGCTGTCATCCCTGATTTATCTCCACCACAGATTTCTGCCGGGGTTACCCGGCTGCAAGCTGGGGCGATGAGGCACGTCTCCCAGCTCGCCACTCTTCCCTCCCTTCCAGCCACAACGTTTGTACCCGGGGTTTGTGCTTCTCTTGTAACCCTAGTTCCATTCTTCCTTCGAAGAGGGCCTGACATTTAGTGCACCCCGTTTGTGCTCCTTCATGGTGAGATGTGTGTGAGGGAGAGGCACACTCTGAGTCTGTTGGCAAGCATCCTCTTTTCTCCAGGGAGGGAAAAGGCGCTACTAGGGATAAGGAAACCCCGCCTGCATTCAGCCCACTACCCAAACAATGGCTTGTATTTAAACATATAAAGACATCGCTGTACAGAGATCCTTTAAAAAATGTTTTCGCCGTCCCCAGCCGTAGAGAGAGAGCGACCACTTATTTGCTGGAAAGGGCTCTTCCCGCCCCTTCCTACTCCTGCCCTCCCTCCTCCCCCCGCCTCCCTTCCCCGTATATTATTACTCTATGCAACCAACGTTAAAACAGCCCCACCGCGCTCCCTGTCCGCGCCTCGGGTGCGAGGCAGCCCTGCCCTCGCCGCACGCACCAGCCAGGCTGCTCCTCCGGCCCCTTCCCCGACCCGGCCCCGGCCTGGCCGCACGGAGCTGTCTACCCACGGCGGGTGCTGAACTGCCCGACGCGGCAGCGGTGGCCGCAGTCCTCCCGGCCTCGCCCCGGCGACCGGAGCCGAGGTAGGCGGCGGCGGGCGCCGCGGAGGATGGGGGCAGCCGGCGGCGACCCCGCGCAGCCCGCCTGAGCCCGCCCGCGCCCCGCACACAAAGCCTGGCAGCGGCCATGGAAGAGGAACTGAAGTGCCCGGTGTGCGGCTCGCTCTTCCGGGAGCCCATCATCCTGCCCTGCTCGCACAATGTCTGCCTGCCCTGCGCCCGCACCATCGCCGTGCAGACCCCGGAGAGCGAGCAGCACCTCCCGGCCCTGCTTCATCCGCGGAGCCCCGCGCCGGCCGCCGCTGCCGCTGCCGCCGCCGCCGCCGCGCCGGGGCCGGGAGCGGGAGCGGCCGCGGGCTCCACCGCCTGCCCGGACTCGGAGTGCGCGGCCGGCGGCGGCGGGGACCACGCGGACAAGCTGAGCCTGCACAGCGAGACCGACAGCGGGTACGGCTCCTACACCCCCAGCCTCAAGTCCCCCAACGGTGTGCGGGTGCTGCCGCTAGTGCCGGCGCCCCCGGGAGCGGCGGCTGCGGCTCCGCGGGGCGCCGGCCCCGCCAGCTCGTCCCTCACCTGCCCGCAGTGCCACAGGAGCGCCTCCCTGGACCAGCGCGGCCTCCGCGGCTTCCAGCGCAACCGGCTGCTGGAGGCCATCGTGCAGCGCTACCAGCAGGGCCGCGCTGCTGCCGCGGCCGCCGCCAAGTGCCAGCTCTGCGACCGCAGCCCTCCCGAGCCGGCAGCGGTGCTGTGCGAGCAGTGCGAGGTGCTGTACTGCGCTGCCTGCCAGCTCCGCTGCCACCCGGCCCGCGGGCCCTTCGCCAAGCACCGCCTGGTCCCGCCGCCCTCACACCCGGGCGCCCCCGGCGGCGGCGACGGCGGCGGGAAGGGGGCGGGCGGCGGCCGCAAGCTGCCGACGTGCGCCGAGCACGACCTGGAGAACTACAGCATGTACTGCGTGAGCTGCCGCAGCCCCGTGTGCTACCAGTGCCTGGAGGAGGGCAAGCACGGCAAGCACGACGTCAAACCCTTGGGCGCAATGTGGAAGCAACACAAGGTGAGACCCAGCAGTCAGCCCGGAGGAGCCAGGTGATGCTTGGCACTGGGGTTTGTTCCGAAGCCCTGATGTCAGGTTGCGGTTTGTGGGACATGAGGTTACTTCACATCCTTCACCCTCCCTGACTTTTCTTCCCTTGGCGTGGTGTTCTTAGGTCTCTGGTACTCCTTGGCTGCCCACTGACCCTGCAACCCCTGCTCAGGGTTAGAAAACCCAGAAAACCCATGTTAGCCTCACTGTAGCCAGGAAATGTTAGGCTCATCCAGGACTCAAGCAGACACCTGGGATTAGCAACTGTTTCACTACCTTGTTTGCCTTCCACAGGGTCCTTGGCTATCCCATCCTCTCACAGGTGGCAGCAGCTGCCTGTGAGGAGACGGGATGGACATTTCTTCCTGGCACCACCTCCTTTTCACCTGGGATTCAGTGCAAGCTGCCACAAGCATTTCCCACCACATGTCAAGGAAGGAGAGTGGCCCAGAACCATCCAAGGAATTTAGGCAGGAAAGCATGATAAGGAGGATAGTGGGATATTGTCCTGTCTCGTGGGCCTCAAAGAGGTCTTACTTCCTTCCCTCTCAGTTCCCAAGGAGGCCAAGAGGAGTGGGTGGAGGGGCTTTCATGACACAAAGATGAGTAAGGAATCGTACGGTGGATGGGGTTTGGGAACAAGTAGAGCTTTCCCTGATTCACATAATATCATGGTCTGATTCATGCTTCCCTGAAGCAGTGCACTTAGCCCACCTGGAGCCCCTGGGGAGACACCAGAGCCTGCTGCTTTGCTACACAGGAGCTTTGCTGAGGTCTGGTAGAGCTGCTGGGTCACTTGGCCATGCTCTCCTTGTTAAAAATAAGACTTTACAACTACCTGAATGAAAAGCAGGACGTGATCTTTGGCATTGAAAGAGTGGATGAAGTTAACAATCTCTGGTTAAAAATGGTGGTCTCTGGAAAAATGATTAGTTAATACATGTGAATGTACAGGGGAGACTGTAATACCCGAGTGCTGACAGCAGTCCTCTGGAGCATCCCGCTGCACTGGGAGGAAAGGACTTCTCCCACAGCTGGGCAAAGAGCACCTGGCCAGTGCTGCTGCCCGCAGGATTATCTTCTTCTCACTTCCTGCTGCAGTTAGTTGTAAGGGAAGCACCATGAGAACATTTCAGATGCTGCAGGAGAGGATGAAATCAAGAGCGGTCTCACCATCTCTCAGCTTTGGGGTGGTCGAGCACAGGCTAGGCTAAGACATTTGGCAAGGCAGAAAACCGACTTTTGATTTTTAAGATATTAAAAATATGCCCCTTGGGTTATTTGCATAGTTTGTCCATCTGAGAAAGCAAAGTTCTTCAGGACATGTTTCAGTTTGAGTGTTCTGCCAAGGGCTCAGCCATCTCCTCCCTAACATGAGGGGTATTTGTGCAGAGGAGAAGTCCTCTGGGCCCAGAAGGAGCAGGTTGTGAATTCGTAGCTATTGCTAGTTATGCCGATGGCAGAACCCACTTTGAAGCAGAGTTATTTCAATGAACAAGGACTGAGTTCACTGTTCAAGTGTGGCTGATGTTCTGGAGAGTGTGAGAGATCAGCTTGTGCTTATTATGCTCTACCTTGAGTTAAAACTGTTTACTGCCTTTCTGAACAATGTGATAAACTCTGGTGTAATCAGAATCAGTCATTTTCTCTCTTTCCCACTATCAAAGATTGTCAAAAGCATGAACAGTGCCACTGTGGGTACTTTTTTCTGGGACTAAGGTATCATAGAATGTAATTTTCTCCTGATTTACTGTTTCAAACAGTGTGAAAAATCTAGTGAAAGAAAAAATTACTCAAAATTAACTAATTTGGGAACTCTGAAATTGTGCTCTTGTGAATATTACTTTTCCCAGAACAATTCACTTGGAAGAAAATAAATAGAATGGAACTGTATAACCAGACAGCCTAAATCATCAGCTCACATCCACTCAGATAAACTCTTTTAGAATTACATACTTCTGCTTAGAAATTGTTCTCAGGTACAGCAATTTCTACAAGTTTATTACCTGTAGTTACTTCATCCAAACCATAAGTTACTTACATTGAGTGGCCTGCCAAATGTAATTCACCTTTTATATGTTCTCTCCAGATGCTCCAGGTGTAGCTGGTAGAGACAGGTGGAAGGTCTTGACCATCGAGTGTTCTTAGCTCAGTAGATCTGACAGACTGACAGTTGCTCACCATCAGCTGATAAGCACTTGCTTACCTCCCTTTGAGGCCAGAGGCTGGTATTCTTCACATAAGAAGGGCTGCCAGAGCCATTTCCCCACTTCTCAGAACACAGTTTCATCCCACAACCACAAACTTCAAACTTTTTTTCCTAATGACTGTGTGGAACTGCTTTTCCAGAAGCTTTGCTCACCTTCAGCTTCAGGACCATTTCCATTCCACTTCTGAGTTAGCCTTTTCAAACTGTTTGACAACTTCTTTGGGCATTATATAGTGATCTAGTGGCAAATCGCAGAGTGCTTTTCCTTGTCTGTACAGTGCTGCAGACCATGCAATGAAATCATGGTATCATAGAATGGTTTGAGTTGGAAGGAACCTTAAAGATTATCTGGTTCCAATCCTTTGCCATCTCTGTAGAGACACCTTCCACTAGCAAAGGTTGCTCAAAGCCTCATCCAACCTGGCCCTGAACACTGCCAAGGATGGGGCAGCCACAGCTTCTTGGGGCAACCTGTTCTAGTGTCTCACCATGAAATGGTCATTTACCCTCAGTTTTAGTGCTGGCATGAAAGCTGAACTGGGCTGGCTGTCTCCTGTTAATGGTGCAGGTTCCCCATGGTGCTGCTGTGTGTGACTTTTCTTACAGAGAAATTAAAAATTATGTAAAATAACAACAGGGTTCCAGTGGCATAAAATTTGAAAATCCACTAACTTAGTTGGATTCTATTACATTAATCTGCATGAAAAGTGCATCTGGACCACCAGTTTAAGGTTATCAAGTAAAACTGTGTAAGTCTTTCACAGATGTCCTTTTATGTCTTCATAGCAGGAACAGTGACACCATTGTCAGATTTAAGTTGGTAGGCCTTTTGATCTACCAATAACAGGAATGATGGTGGACACATTTCAGCTTCAAGACAGTGGGCACACTTCAGAGAGTGGTCACATATTGCTCATTTAAATTGGGCAAGCTAAAATGTATACATATTTTTGGGTGACATGGTTTAGTGTGAGGTGTCCCTGCCCATAGCAGAGGGGCTGGAACTAGATGATCTTAAGGTCCTTTCCAACCCCAACTGTTCTGTGATTCTGTGATTTTATGATCTATTGAAATACTGAAAAAAGCCATAGCTGGATAGGTCCGTGAAAGGCAGGCAATCAGCAACTGAAGGCAAGTGTTGGAGTCCAAATACCTGCTATTATTTGCTTGCCTAAAGAGTTGTGTTCCCCCCAGAATGTGGGCTGTTTCAGAATTCAGCACCAGAGTGAGCTTATCTAATCAATAGTTAATATGCTACTAAAGAGAGTTGGTAGGAAAACAAGTTAAATGAGCATGAACTGTTCGGTTGAAAAAGGACATGGTCATTATCTGGTTCATTTTCCAAAATCAAAGGAAGCATCTGTCTTCCATGCCCACCTGAGTTTAATTACTCACCCTTGTAATCTCTCTCTGTGTTCCTGTATTTGATAGAAGTAGAAACTTGGTATCCATCTCCAGCATTCACATTATTTGTTCCTAGACCAGGTATTCAAGTAAAGATAACACCAGCTAGAATACTCTTTGTCAGGAGTTATTAGTTGTCGCAGTCAGTGGAACTAGTAACTTTTCAGTTTGGCTTCCAGTAAATATTTCTGCAGTATGAAAGATTGCTCTGAGGGTACAGGGCATTTTCTATGGCTTGATTGGTTTACGGAGGGCTTAGTCATGTAGCTCCATTTGATTTGAATGGGGAGTGCATGACTAAATTCCACTGCTTTGTAAGGTATCCGTTACAAATGCTTGGAAAAACAAGGCTATTGTCTCTAAGTGGGTTTCACAAATGGAGATCTGGTCTTCTCCTTAGCTTCACACTGCAGTTGCATTAATGCAGCCACAGGTTTTAATGGACACGGCTATTCACTCATGGGCCCTCTGCACAATGACATTGTTGAGTTTGTATTGCAGCAAATTGTGCTGGGAGTGCTGTGAGCATGCCGGGATCCAGGAATGACTGCATGAATTGCCAAGAGTACATATGCCAGTTACAATTTGCCTGTGGTGATTCAGTTTCCTATGGCTGCTGTGAGCCTACATACTGCTTTTGGCTCTTCTTATCTGGTGAAATGCACTTTGAGATGACTTGAGAGCTAGCGTAGATGTGGAAAGAGTGGAAGTATTGCTTTTGTCTGGACCAGCCCTTGGTTTCGATTTGAAAGAAAGGAACCTTTGCCTCCAATTTAGCTGGGCCAGTCAATGGCAGAGCATATCATGCTTTTGCTACCTAGTTCTTTCTCGCTTCCTCCCCAGCCATGACTGGAACCCTTTCAAGGACCTGGAGTTTGCTTCTATGATCTCCAGTAGAATTCATACCAAAGATCATAACTTTGTATTTTTGTGCAGTGACAGGAGTTTGTTTAAGAGAATGCAAAATATTCAAGTACTGAGAAACAGACACAGTAATGTATCCTCCCATCACATTTGTTACAAATGAGTTGTAGTAGAGCATATTTAGCCATAACTGGGCTAAAAGGCAAAAGTTTGTGTGAATATGAGGAAAGAACACTAGGATGGCTTCTTTCTAATTCAATCTGAGATCCCACTCAGGGTTTGTACCCACTTGCCAGAGAGGCATGTGGAGTTAGTCAGTACCTCTGCCTGCATAAGGCTGCCTGCCTGAGAGCTGGGTGTGAAATGCCCATGAGGAGCTTCCAGGGTCTGCTCTTTCATGTCCTGCATGAGTAAGTGAGCACAAGGGAAGGATGAGTAGGACACATTCAGGTGGAAGGTAAGCTCAAAACATTGGCAGCCTGAAGAAGTGAGCTGTGCCCTTTTCAGGGGTGGAGTGATTTACTGCTTTCCAGGAACAAGAGAAAAACAGGGAATGAGTGGTGACTTACTGAATTTCAACCAGGTCTCCTCTCAGAGGCTCATAACCTTTGTGCCTTCCTACTTAAAAGGCTCTGTCTCAAGGCACGCCCTAGTCCTAAGGAAACAAGAGATGGCAACTTCCTGAGAGCCTGATGATAGCAAAGATGCTCTATCTTCCATTTCCAGTTGTCAATTATTGTATCTGTTCAGTGAGGATAATTAAGTAGGCATTGGCAATCTGGTAGTTGCCAAGTCTGCTTGAGAGGTGGACCCACAAAGAGAGTGTCTAACCGGCAGGACACTCCCAATGGGACCTATCTGGTCACTTACATTTGCACAGAGAAGTAATGCTGGATCTGGGCTTGCCATGTGCTGATAAGCAGAGCAGTATGGTTTCTGTAATCCCAGCCAGGCTTCCAGGGAAGTTGCACCAGGGCTGCTCTGGTCAGACCATGGTGGTTCTGGGGCTGCCGGAGGACAGAACCACTGTTTCCGTCCTGTCTTGGAAGTCCATTGAGAACCTCTGGTTTGGCTTAGGGATCTCAGGTGCCAGCTGAGGAAAGGGGAGCTTAGGTCTTCTATGTGTACATACAAAAGTCATATTCCATATGTCTCACCAGTAAAAAGTTAAGATAAAGGGTTTTTTCCAACTTCTCCGGGAATATTCACCCTTTTGTTAGATTGAAGCATAGGAAAATGGAGCCCCAAAGGGACATTACTATGAAGTGTGAAAATGCAGCTTTATGCTTGAAGTCCTAGAGTGTATATCAAATTTGGTAAGGTCTACCACATTTAGAAAGAATTAATGCTTTGATGAGAAAAAAAATAGTGATGGTTTGGAAAGCACTTGGGGATTTTTTAGCATGACAGATGCTACTGTGTGAGTGTAAGACTATTAGCTCCTTATAGACGTGGGTAGCTGGCTTGTAAAAAAGGTATTTTGACTTACCAAGTTACTGCGATAAAGTGGAATGTGCAGACACAATACTTGATTGCCCCCACACTCAAATTTCACCTTTATTAAATTTTATTACAATGAAAATCTTAGCTATGCTTTTCTAGCACAAACACAGTACGTTTAAGAATACATGCGACAGCAAGTAAGCCTTTTAGCACATTATTAATCATCAAACGCAAGGATTACTAAGAAACACATTTGCATTTTATCTCTAATTTTCCCCCTTTTTTTTTCTTCCCTGCAGGCACAGCTCTCTCAGGCTTTAAATGGTGTTTCAGATAAAGCAAAGGAAGCAAAAGAATTTCTGGTCCAGCTGAAAAATTTATTGCAGCAGATCCAGGTAACTGCAGAATATTAGCTGTTTTGATAATACAGTAATCAATAGAACTGGGTGAATAATTCATTTGATGACTTTGTCTCCTGTGCTATTCTCATATTTCCTGGAATCATCTAAGCTTTCTTGAATGGATTTTCTAGGCAAATTATTCAACAAATAATGCCTGCAAGCCCCTCTTAGCTTCTAAATTGTTTGTTGTTTATTGCAAGAAGCTGGTACTTGATACTGGACATTTAAGCTGTGTTGATTAGTATTTGATTGAATCCATCGGTCATGTGTCTGGACTTCTTCCTGACTAAAATTGCTCGAACTGGGCATTTAGGATAAGTTCTCATTTTAACACATTCAAAATTTACTACTTGCTTTCCATCTTGCATTTTCTAAAAATGCACTAGTTTCTGGACAAAATCCAGTCAACCTGTATATTAGGGTATTTGTAGGAAGTCAAAAATAGAACAAAGAAACACTGCTAAATCAATGTGGTCATTTATTGAAGTAGAGGTGTTTTCATACCTGTAATTGTCCAGCTTTAATAGTCAGAAAAGGGCTCATGGTGAGTGTAGTAATTGAATGCACAAAACCAAAATGAAACCTGTCCTATTTTCAACCAAATTTAGACTCATCACTGCTGGAGATCAGATGATCCTCAAGGTCTTTCTTACCCTGCAGAGCATGGCTGGGAATGTGCTACCATAGTTTGAGCTATGGGCACAGGACCCAGGAGAGGACACTTGCTATCCAAAGTAGTGGTGCTCTGTGGTGGTGAGTTTTCTGTGGGATATGCATCATCTGCTCTATGACATGCTCACTCTGCTGCTCACTCATCTTCCATCAACAAGCAAGTCTTGTGCCTGTTAGTAACAGAAAAAATAAAGTAGAAGTTCAAAAATCTGCATTTCGTTTAGAATTTTATCAATAAAATATTCCACTTAACACCCTTGATGCTGAATTTGTATCGCGAATACTGCCCAAGCTCTCAGGTTGCCACAGGGCAGCATAGTTACCCACCCTCACAGTCTTCTGTGGACACATGGGGAAGGGAACAAACCAAGACTGAGAAACTGGTGGGAAAAAAAGCACATCTAACTGAAAGAAACCGATGTGAAGCCATCAACTGGTACCTGTCACGTGCTATATTTTGGACACAGTGTAAGGTTTCTCTGAACTGACTTTACTTATTTAAAAGTTACATAGCTGATCTAACCTAGTAATTTAGACTTCTTCCTTTGCCGAAGGAGAAAGATGGACATCTTTAGAGAGCGGTTCTTCCTATAGGTATGCACAGCTAATTTAGGATGGAATAGCTCATTCAAAAGGGTAGTCTATTACCAATCTTGTCTTGAGTCATCTAGCTCTATTAAAAATGTATTTTTCCCTCCTGAAACATAAGATGGTCTATTATGACTATGTATGACTTTGCTGTAAAATCCTTTAAAGTGTTTCAATAAAAGCATTGCCAAATTGCTCTGCATAGGGGAGCTGCTACAATTAGATCAAAAGACCAAGCCATTTATTTAATGCTGCTGATTGCTAAAAGAGAATTCAGAAGAGACAATGTCACCCACTGGCATTTGGGCATGTCTGGACACAAAGCTGAATCTGGCCCTCACATGTCGAACCAGACTCCATTGTGAGTCTAGTAAGGACATGGAATTTCAGCAGACAGAAACAGCAGGACTAATCAACTGCATATGTATTCCTAAGTAAAACAAGGCTAGGGCAGAGCTCTGAGACCATCAGCCACACACTTTAACCCCTAGCGAGCTCCCTGGCATGGTTTTCTCCCATGGCAAATTGCACTCTTCTCAGGTGATGCTCAAGCAGCATTTGGTGATAGCACATACCAGAGAATGCTACTGGTAGGCAGGTTTGATACAAGCACACTATTTGAGGGGAAATGGTTAAGACCTGTCCATGAACTGCTTGGTGTCTTCTGGCATCTGGGCTAAAAAAACGGTTCTTGGACAGTTACTTGTGGAGGAATAGGTGTAGCCTTCATGCATAGATTTATACCCAGAATCACGTATCCCAGGGCAGGTTATTTCTAATAAAAGTCTTATGGTGGTTGCCTAACACATGTACAGACATTTACCCCTCAGCAAAAATGTCTTTCAAATATAGGCTTACACAAAGGAGTAATTTGTACATTTTGTTACCCTGTCTCAACGCACAGCAGACCAGACAGCCATCTGCACTCTTATTTCCTCTCTTTAGTTTGCCACAGCTACAAGGAGCTGTGCTTCTGTGTTGCCGCGAGCAGTTTGTAAATCCATAATCTACTTTTCTTTTCTATGCTTTGCAGACCTGTTTTTTCCCCCCTTTATTCCTTCCCTTCTTCTTTCTGAGGTCCCTTTTAAATGTTTTGGCCTCTTCTTTTCAGAAGCTGCCTGTTCCTCGTTGCCCCTGTTGCTTCCTTGCTCCTCCTTGTTGCCGTTATGATCTGATTTTCACATTTTCCCATCTGCTGTAACAATTTCATCCTTTCTCACTTGAAGAGGCATAGTGCCAAATGTTTGATGTGTGAATAGAAAATGAGGAGAGAAATTATGCACTACAGCCATCAACTAATTTGGGCTCTGTACGCAAACCTGTACTTCAAGGGTAGCTGGATGGAAATGGGCTTAAGGGGGAGTTGGGTGTGATATAAGCTAAGGAGGGAGAGATGCAAACAAGAAGAGTCTAAGACAATCCTGTGAACAGTAACTGAGCTGTCTGGTGCCTCTGCACCCACCCATCTTGCTGGCAGGTCTAGGACTGTGATGGGGACCTCTCAAGGAAGAGCAACCCTGCATCCCTCAGCTGGAGAATGGCATGCATGGATTGCAGTGAGGGAGGCGAATGCAGTGCTGATAGGAAAATGAACATCTCCTCTAAAGAGGAGCTTGAAAGCTTTCTCCTTCTAGTCTCACAAGCAGAGGAAGCGAGGGAGAGCCTCCCCCTGAATGTGAACTGCAGCATCAGTTCCACGGCCAGAAAAAGGCATCCCTGGGAGGAGGGAAGGCTCAGCACCTCGTAGTACCATCTGCTCAGATTTCTACAGCTGCATGGGATTCTGTGGTACTATGGTTTGTTCCCTATTGATAGGACAGGGGTTTATGCAGTGATAAGTGATATCCAGCTACTCAAAGCTCAGTGTTTTATACCTCAGATGCTGGCCTCTGCCTCGCAGAGAGTTTGACCACAATATGAATAAAAAACTGCCATGTATTGCCTTTTCTTCTTTTTAAAGCTAATCAAATACGTATCTCCACTGCCAAGTGCTGGCTATTTTTAAATAAGTACTTGAAGCAGTAGACAAATCTTAAGGCTTTGTACCTCATTGATTTCCTTGTAATAAACCTGTAGACCAGATTCATAATTCTATTTTAATTGCCATGGTGTAGAGCCAGTGATTTCAAAGTTGCTACAGTGGGATAATTAGAACAGAATGGGGCAGAATCTTCTTATGTATATGCATGCCCTGTGTATGCTACATTTAGCTTTTACATTATATTGTACTATGTCTGTTGTCCATGAAGTGCCAGTAAATCAAGTTTATAAATAAGACTATTTGTGGCATAGCATCCTCCTTCTTCATTTTATAGCATGCAGCTATTACTGGTACAGCTATAATGAAATCAGCAAGGCAACAGAAATGTTGAGGTCTTGAAAGGAAATCTTTTCTGAATAGAAAAACAGGTAAGAATGAGCAAAGCTTAAGATGTGAAATACACTTTCTCTGATGAGCATAACTTTCACTTCCTTCTAGGAGAATGGGTTGGATTATGAAGCCTGCCTTGTTGCTCAGTGTGATGCCTTGGTTGATGCATTAACACGACAGAAAGCAAAACTGCTCACAAAGGTGACCAAAGAACGTGAGCACAAGCTGAAGGTGAGCACAAGTCTCACCAGCTGAGCACAGCTGCTGATACCTCTTGTTACTGTGTGTTTTGTCAGGTCCCCAGTCCTTTACACCATGAAAATTTAGTGACCAAATCTTGAAGTCCTTTAGCAGGTTCCAGTTCAGCAGTTTAATGGAACTTTATAATTTATACACTTAAAATGAGATATGTACTTCAGCAGTTCTTTGAATTAGGCCATCAGTCTTTATTTCTTTGATGGTTTGGGGTTATCTTTTGAGAGTGAAACCTGTGTGTGGTTTGCATTCAGGGACCTTCTGCCCAAGTAAAATGTTGGGATTTTGGTGTCTCGTTAAATCTTTGAAATTCAGGCAAGCCCCCTCTAGAAATCCATGTGCCACTCAAATGATATTAAAGGAATGCATTAAAGAGTGGTGAGGAGAAGAAAGCTATAAATGGTTGAACAAAGTGAGAGTCAAGAAATGTTTAAATTGAACATTTCTTGAAATGTTGAATTGCTTATGTGACTTCGAGGTATTATAGTGCCAGAAACATTAATGATATCTAAAACAAAAGGAGAAATTGAAGTGAAATATCTAACATGTCAAACAATGAATGAAATCCACCTGAGATCAGCATTTGAAAACACTCATGCTTAACAAGAACCAACACTTGGGACACAGTGATAACGGCACAGCTAATCCTGCAGTTTATTCCTGCCAGGACTTGTGCTGTTGAGTGCAGTGCTATTAGGCCTAGTCTGCAGCCATGTGGCAGCAGAATCAGGTCCAATATGTGGAAAAATGAGATGTAGCCTTTTTTATTTCTTAATCCCAGCAATGCGTTCTTAAGCAGAGCAGGATCAATGGTGAATTGTGAAAAGAACAGTAAAATATAATCTACAAGAAACCATGCCTGCACTTACCCTCTATAATACTCACCTTGTAAGTAAAGGATATTTAAAAGCTCAGATTTCAGTGAAAGTGTGATTGTAAATGTGAATCCTGCAGATGCAGAAACATGTTCTGTGCTCTTTTTGCCCCAAGCAAGCCTGATCTTTGAGCAATTAGTCTGCTCTGAAAATCAAGATTCCCTGTGCACGTTTTGCCAAGCTAATTATCAGTATTTACAATACAGAACGAGTGAGTGTAGCTGATGGAGACATGGCAATGGCCATATGGCAGCTAAATTAAGCATAGATTTAACACACTCTTCCATTTGCTGTCTCTCCTCTGAAATAATCGTGTACAATTCTCTGTAAGCTGAGGCAGTATAAGAACGGTATTGATGCTTGTTTTCCAGGTTGTCTGGGACCAGATAAATCACTGTACTCTGAAGCTACGCCAGTCAACGGGGCTTATGGAGTACTGCCTAGAAGTTATCAAAGAAAATGATCCCTCTGGGTTTTTACAGGTATTTTTCTTTCTGATGTTCTGGGGAGGAAAAAGAAAAGATGCTAAAGTTAGATCTAAAAAGAGGATAGCTTTGCTAATTTGCCTCTTTCACAGCTGAGGCAGGTTCACCTTAACTCCTGTTAGTACTGTCTAATAGCTCTGGTAGCCTGGTGGCTGCATGAATGTCCCAGCAAAGGGATGGTTTTGAACAGCCACGCTCTGACCGAGGTGCAGTTAATGACAGCTTTCTCCAGCATATTATCTTATTCTCATCTGAGAAACTCAACACAGGGCCTTACAGAGCTCTCTGATCAATTTGGAAAGGTCTGTGACTCAGCAAAGTCGTATTTCTCCCCTTTTCATTACTCTTTCTCATGCGAAAGAGTCCCTTCAACATCTCCCCTGTGTGGAAAGCCTTTAAGGGCTTGCGTGTAGCTTTGCTTTACTGGATTTGTTTCACCTCACAGGGCAACAAAACCTGTCTTGTAGCTTCAAGATTCAGGTACCCGCTCTTTGCAAAATATGGCCTAGCCAATAGCTGTCTTAGTTTGCAGGATATTATTAGCTGCAAGCAGTGAAACTGTCTATTGATGGGAAAACGTAACAGTTTTACTATCCAATAAATTGTTTTGCCTAAATACTTTTGGGTTTTGCCCTGTTAGTTTTGTTGCCTTATTAATTGCCTAAGAAGGAAGGCACATCAGACAAAATGATCTGTGGCTGTCAGCTGAACAGGGCACACTGCACACATGAATGCATGAGTGTTGGGGGCTATCACTGCATCCCGAAAAACCAGGATGAGAATTAGCCAACTTAAAATGATTAGCACTCCAGATTGATTGTTACTGTCACGTCTGGTCTCAAGCAAGAGTGGGGAATGTGTGGTGTATATTAATCTCAAGTTTACTCAGATTTTAGCAGGCTGTTGGTTGGATACTGCAGGGCAAATGAAACCTTTAGGTCTTATCTACGTACTGGCTAGATACATGCTTCATTTGCACTTCAGCTTATTTTTCCTGTAACCTTTTTGGGTTCATTCTTTGCAGTCACCTTTTATAAAAAATATTTTACCTTCACCTGGTTTATCTAATGATGCTTTCAAGGTAACAAGCAAACACTGAGGCACTGCATTATTTAAAGCAACCACTCCAGCAGCCAGCATGTTGAACACAGCTAAGGGATCCCTGTAAGTGACTCCAAGGATGTAAGAATGCTATGAGAAGCTCCTCCACTTACCACATATACTGATTAGGAGCTGTTGATGCAGGGGCTCAGGTAGGAGTGTCTTCCAGTAACAGTAATAAGAAAAGGTATCTGAACTTCTGCAACAAAGAAAAACTGTCTCTGACTTAGCAAGAAGAAAATTCTTCTCCCTGTGACTCACAGAAAACTCACCAAGAAGGTCTCCAGATATCCAAATGGCAGCTTCACTGAATTCAAGGACAGTTGAGCTCCTGATTTCCACAGAGCCAGGATTTCACTTCCAGATGAGTCCATTGCAGTCATCTTAGTCTGACGTTTGGCCTAGTTGTCTGTGGGCTTAGCTAGAACAAAGCTTAAAAAATGAAATTCAGTTTTGACGCAATCATAGAAAACCCATCATATTCTTTGACAACTTAGCACCTTCCCTGTGAGAAATATACACCTTCCTTCCCATATGATTTTTTTAATTCCTTTCAGCTTTCATCCACTGAGTCATGAGTACTGAATGGAGAGACCCTCTAACATTTAAGCCTCTCTTTGTGCAACTGTGTTTTAAACAGGAGAGCAAAACTAGACTGTGCAGATCAGAGAACAGAGTCCGGAAGTATATGTGGCATTCAGAGGCATGAAACATAACACAATATTAACAGGCTTTATAAATGTGATGGTTACTTTCCTACCCTAAGATGAGATTTGTTCTGAAAAGATGAGATGAAAGGATGCAACACAAATGGACCTTACACCAAAATAACCAAATCCCATCTCAGCTGTTGTTCTGTGGTATTCCTGCTGTCTTTGTGCTTTATCTCCCAGACATTCTGTCAGTTTTAATGTGTGCATCTGCCATTTCATTATAGATAATATAAATACATAAGCCTGATAACTCTCTTTCAGATTTCAGATGCTTTAATCAAGCGTGTTCAGGTATCTCAGGAACAGTGGGTCAAAGGAGCCTTGGAGCCAAAAGTGTCTGCTGAGTTTGACTTGACTCTGGATAGTGAACCTTTGCTGCAGTCAATTCACCAGCTGGATTTTATTCAGATGAAATGTAGGGGTGAGCTGTTATTATTTTCCTTTTTCTTGTTTTCATGCATATGTCAAACTGGTGCTGGGAGGGACAGGGGAGCCAAGAGAAGGGAAAGGAGTGACTTGAAATTGCTGGGTAGTTGTAAACGGTTTTCAAGCAAATTCAGGTTACTGGGTGTTTCCTAGAAAGGTGTGCTCACCTCACTGAACAAGCTCAGCAGAGACACCAGGTGCAGTTAAAGATCTAAGAATATCTATAAATTCTTCAGAGAAGGGCTGTTTATCAGGTTTGAAGATTAAAAAGACACCAGCTGCATGAAAGCTTATGCCATTTTACAGCATTCTTTCATTTAACACGGTTAATTCAAAATACCAATTACCCCAATCTTGTTAGAAACAGCTGAAGTAGTAAATAAATATTCCCCCCACACACGCATGCTTGAATAGGGAAAAAAAAACCAACCCAACCCTTTGACTTATATCTGGACTGTCCTGTAAACAGTGCCCAGCTTAAAACAAATAATGAGGCAGAGATTCCCAAGGGGAAAGTAACCCCATGGCTAAATCTTTCCTTGATTCCAGGTATCTGAATAATTCCAAGGGACATACTAAGGGGAAAGAAGATTTTTAAAAGTATTTAAAAGCAGAAGCTGGTGAACAGTAAATGCCACTGGCAAAGAAAAAAGATACTAACAGCATGCACTTGTAATGAGCTTGGTTTTATATGGAGCAGGATGAGAACTGCATCAGAATTAGATAGCTCCATAGACCAGATAGATTTGAAGACCATTGTGGTCCCTGGGAATGATGCCATTAGCTTCCACCAGTGCTGATTCGAGCCTTAATTATACATCGGGTGACAGGGTAGAGGCTGCCAGAAGCCAATGAATGAGTTAAGGATAATAGTGTTGTGATGTCGGATTTGCTTTTTTTTTTTGACTCCAAGCAAGCATAAAGATTTCTGTTCAGTTTGTCTGTTCTCCCTGGGCCTAATTCTGAACCTGTGGGACCCAAGATGAAGTAATTAGGGTGGATAATTTGGGAGATGAGCATGTGGAGAAACAATGGATAAAGCGTTAAGAGCCAAAGTCTGCTCACAGAGAATGGTTTGCATCTTGGCATAAACAGGCTGTGGTAAAGTTACTCAAAAAACACCTGCAAACTGCTCCTTTGAAATGTTGACAGCCAGGAAAGCAGAGTCAGGAGAAAAAGAGTATCACTGATGAAACTTCTCCAAATACTGTCTGCGCTTGTCTTTTCTATTCAGTTCAGATTTCATGTTGGCCATATTAATTGTTCAGTATATTTAATACTAATCTTCCACCACTCTCCTTCCCAAAAGTATAAAAATGCAGTTAAACTATCCAGTTAGATTGCTAATTAACCAGAGGCCAGTTGAGGTGAGAGCAGCTTAGGTATTTGGCTTTTGGACATTCATCTGTCTTTAAGCTTGAAGACTTATGAGACTTTAATTGAGCCAGATTCACTGGAGCTTTATGAAAGATAGTGCTGTTTGCTACACTCTTATTTATCATATGATCACAGTGAAGCTCTGTTACTAAGCTAGACACAATCTGAAGAGCAGAGGAGAGGACAGGACTGCTTGAACACCCTTTGGCTTTGCTCCCCAGAGGCACCTTAACAGTTAGCCCTCATGAAGGCCTTTTCCTTGACCTATCTTGGCCCTGACCAGGGACTGCCTGTTGCATTCATTTTGTTGACCATTCAGTTGGTCAACACAACTGGTGTGACCATGTACACACCATGCAAAGTATGGTGGAAATGGCATTAACCTGGCCACAATTCCTGAAGATGCATAAGCAATTGCATTATTTCCCCTTGCACCTCTGTGTGCCCAAGCAGAACAAGCCACTAACGCATCCCAAGCTTACATTCACAGGTATTGAGAATTGTTTAGTCTATAAAGGTGTATTTATATCTTTTTCAGTTTATGTCACTAAATCTATATGCATTTGCACTACTTAGTCTGGAAATTTGGCACTTTTTTCCCGAAATTTTGCCTCTGTGACCTCAACTAGCCCTGCATTATCTTCTCATGCATAGTGGTCTTGCATCTAGAAATACAGGTACGACAGAGAACTCACCATTTCAGCAGTGAGCACCAGACTTACTGGGAGCACCACTTTGCTGACTGCGAGGAGAAGCTGGTGTTGCAGGGTGATGTTTTGCTATTTATTGCCATCAGAATTTGTATATTTCTGAGCCTCCAATTTAGGAAGAAAAATCTATGCATCCCTTCACATACACCCCTCTTTCACCAGTCCTACCTACTCTAGCACACCAACAGATTATCAGTCTTTGCCAAATGTGGGTGTTAAGGGGAGTGATATTAAGTCACTATACTGGTTCATCTGACAAGAGTAAATGCATTAAAGGCATAGGAGACTAAAGGGAGTTTTAGGGAAGCCTAGGAGAATAGGACCAGCGTGGCCTTTCCATCTGCAAGCTGCTTTGTTCCAAAAGCTTGGCAATGTAAGGTCTGTACTATTGTTATCGATGCTTAGTGCATGAGTGAATGTCTATATTTTTTTCAAACTCTGGCCTCATTCAACCTCAGTGAGCTTGCATGGGTCATTTAGAGTGAAAGCATGCTTGTAAGTAAACATTGATTCACTGTGGTAGACAAAGAAGAATGAAAACGAGAACAAATCACATTGCATTTGCTTTGATGACTTGTTCATGTACTTTACTGGTGGACTCTATAAGCCCTTATCTAAAGCTTATTTCAATAAATAAAGATCTTTTTTATAGAAAGAAAAAGCAATCTGGTAACAAATTAAGTGTGCAGAAATACGATTAATGCAGAAGTAACATTTAAGGAGTCATGTTGACCAAAGGGTCTTTGGCAAGGGCCTCATGCTCACCAGGGTAGCTGACATGCTGAGGCACATACACAGCTCTAGTAATTTCTGGCATTATAAGCTTTCCCAGATCCCTTTCTTCTGTCCAAGTTTTCTCCTCTATACTGCTTTTTCTGATTGCCTTGGCACAAAATTCCTGTTCTCTTTGATGACTGGCTCAATGCATATAGCACAGTTCCTCAGTTCAGACTATGGGCACAGGCAAACACGTGTTCCAGGTTTGTTTTGTTTGAACAGCTGGAACTCTCATTGTCATGCAATCTTGTTTTGCTGCAAAACAGAGACTAGGTACGAAGTAGGAAAAAAACACAGCTTTTCTCTACTTCTCTGTACCACCTCTGAATACTCACTGATATGCTACTTCTCCTTGTCAGGAGTGACTCCTTCTGCAAACCAGTCCATGACACATCTCGTGTTGCAGATCTTTGCATTTCCAGCCATGAGCTGCACAGCCCTGACAATGAAGGAGTTACCTTCCTTTGTAGGCTTTGTCCCTGGTTCTGTTTGCATTGTGTCATGGACACACATCTTTGCCTGTGGTCTTTCCTTCTCTCTCTGTAACACTATTTGTAGGGTACTTCCTACAGCAGTGACTCATGCTATGTAAGGGTTCATATGGCAGTTTTGGAGGAGGTTTTCGTGTTTCTGAGGGTCCCATCCTTTCACTGCACTTAGTCCTTTAAAAACTAACCTGGGAAAGTGGAGGGCATCCTTGCACAACTTGCTTGTCAAGAGAACAAATAGCAGACAGCATCTTAGAGCAGCCCTGCTCTATCCTGAGAGATCAGCTGTGAGACACATTGAGCAATGTGTTTATGAAACTGCTGAGTTGACATGAGACATCAGTATCACATTTTTTAGCTAAGTGCATGAAGCACTTTTAAATAGCAGGATATCATTCAGACTCATTAATAGATCTTGCTGTGCCAATGCAGTATCATTTGTCCCTTTATATTTTTAATCTTTTCCTTCAAAACCTCTCTAGAGGATCTTTAGTTAAACAAGAAGTGGGACAGCACCATAATTTAACATCTGAGTCTTCTTTTTTTCCTGACACTTAGCCTGTATTTTTCTTTTCTTAGTCCTGTCCCATTGCCCTTCACTATGAAGTATATGCCACTGTCCCAATTATTCAACCCACTTCACACTTTCCTATGACTTTTACAAGTATTCACCTTTTCTTCCCAGAGGTAATCTGAGACCAAAGCAAATCTCTGCCCATCTGCATCCAGATGACGAGGCAGAAGGGCAGCCACAGCAAGTGCCATCCAGCAAAGCTGCACAGCTGCCTGGTGGGAGCTTCTTACCTCTCCTACAGCTACTGCAGATTGTGCAGTGCCTGCCCAAGGGTGGTAGGAAGCTGATAAATTTAAGTGCCCAGTGACACAGTAAAGAAGCCCAGGAACTTCCCCATAGTAGGTGTGACTCTCACATGTAGGGCCAAAATTCAAACTGCCCCTGGGAGGTGGGAACAACAGTGCTGTACTGTATGAAAACATAATCTAGTCCTAGATGGCATTCCTATTTCCATAGTAAAAAGGGACTCCTAAAACATGCACCTACCCTCCCCAAAAAATCTGATCCTTTTTTTTGGCATTGTGCTTTATGTAAATAGTCCCTGAATGCCTCCAGGTAGTGTTTCTAGGAGACTCTTGCAGGGAGTTGGAGAGGTTAGTGGTTGGTCAGAGGTGATGGCGTGTTTTGTACTTTATAAACTTTGAGAATTAGGTTCTCCTCCAGTTTTGCCAGGGGGAGTCTCAAAATGTGGAGGACCCAGGGCATGCCTCCTGGGAGGGTTAACTGGTTAGGTAAGGTGGCAGGAGTGTGGATGGAAGATACAGCCCAATCTTCTCCCATGCTCATCAGTCACTGGAAATACAGATGATAACAAACACAGACAAAACCCTAAACTTATAGTGGTTCACTTAAAAAATCCCATTACTCCTCGTTTTCAGGTTTTTGGCTCTTGTCACATTTCTGTTAACTTCTCCAGACACACGGTCTCCTAGAGAAAAGACTGAACTTTTCATGTGGAAAAACAAGCAGGTTTTTATTTACGGCACCCTCTGAATCATCATCAAATATCAAGGCATAGGAACAAGGTGTTTTTTTTTCTCTTTCCACAGAAAAACTTTCAAGGACTAATTTATAAAGCTCTTGGTTTAGACCACAGTTATTCTTCTGTGCTACCAACTATCCGTGTTCACTGCAGTGATGGATAATGCTAGCAGAAAGCCACGGTAGCTTCTGCACTGTTTATCACGTGTGATGTTGACTTTTGTGTCACTGCCAAAGTGGGGGTGAAGCTTTAGTCCTGTCACACAGCAGCATCCATTTTCCCACAGACTGCTTGCTACACAAAACACGAACAGTCCTCTTTTATCCAGAGAGGTAAAATAGGACGAAAGGAACAGCTCAAGGGCTTAGCTCTCACTCAGACAGAGGGAGGAGGAAAATAAACTAGAGGCTCAAAGCAGAGTAGATAAAAGAAGAGCAAACTGACATTGTTAAGAGCTAAGTCAATGAATGCTCAGAGCTCTCAGTTCCTTGTAAGACACGGTTGAGCTCTGCAGAAATGATCCTGACTGGTAAAATTCAGCCTTGGGCAGAAGATGCGGCAGGGTCTATGCATCACTTACATCCCCACTTAACCTGTGCGATTTCAGCTGTGTGTAAGATACATCTCCAGAAGACTGGATTTTCACTGTGTAATGAATGTTTTATTATGGGTTTTTTTTTGTTTTAAAGGTGCTGGTCTGGTCAATAGTCTGTTGGTGTTTCTCCTAAGAAAGTCATTAAAAAGGGATGTTGGTAGATAACTTTGCACTTGCAGTTTCCTGGGAGCCACAAGCAGTCTCATTTTTCTACCTGAATCAAGGGATTTAGATAAAATTTGCAAATGGAACGATCTTCTTCAACCATTTTTTTAAGTATGGCTGCCATAAAGATACCATATCCGAGGTGGTTTTGATTGAAAACTGTGTGAGTGGTATTAAATTTGATTAAAAACAAACAAACAAACAAACAAGCAAAACCAAGGCCTATTGTGAAGAATTGTTTTCCTGCTGTCAGTGGAATTCAGGCTCTATCTTGCTGCTGTGCTTGGAGGTTGATTAATAACCCTATTCTTCATTAATGAGCTGGGCTTCCTGACAGCACTGCACCTCCCATGCTGCCCCATGGCCCAAGGCGCCCCCTGCCACCACTGATTCCTCTTTCCTTTGGGGGACAGCAGGAACAAAGTGCTCTAGGGTGAGAGAAAGCTTTTCCACCCAGCGACCCATGGGAGGGGAAGCAGACATGAGATCCGCAAACTATAGTTCTTATGAGGTACCAAAAGCATGTCCAGATATGTTTCTGTTTGCATGTTTCAGCCAAATGATTTGTCTAACCAAGTAATGACATTTTGTTATATCATTAATGCTGCCTTTAGTTTCAAGGAGGAGGACAGACCCTTTTCCTAATGAATATTGACTCCCCTGCGAGGGGAGGGGGGTGAGCTGTTGCCACACTGCTCAAGGCACAGACTGATGGGGAAGGGCAGAGTTACACTAACCTGTACCCAGTTCCTGTTGCAGTGCCACCCGTCCCCTTACTGCAGCTGGAGAAGTGCTGCACCAGAAACAACAGTGTGACATTGGCCTGGAGGATGCCACCCTTGACCCACAACCCGGTGGAGGGTTATATCTTGGAACTTGATGATGGAGATGGAGGCCAATTCAGAGTGAGGATTTCTTTCAGCATTTGTTTGTGTTTCTTTGTATGTGAGTTTCCTCAGGATATGGATTTGTGTCTGTCTGAGGGTGGGGAGAGGGGGTAAGCAAATATGGGTTGTCAAAACATCCCTGCTTCCATCACGTGGATATAGAAAGCGGTGCAGATGCTGCTTATTAGAAGAACACCAAGCTTGGGTGGGAAGTTTGGCTGAGGTTATTATCAGGGCTCTGTCAAAGGCAGCCTTGAGGTCCCCCTGGGGTGTACCAGAACAGAAAACCCCATACTAACCTACAAGACTTGAAAGTGGCTCATTCCACAAAGCAGAGGTTTCTTTAAAGCCCCTACTCTTGTCTGTCCATAGCACCCATTTCAACTGCTGAGATTCTCGGTTCAGAAATGCAACTCACTTTTTCCTGATTTTATGAATAAAAATGGGATCCTGCATAAAAATATGGTATTTCTGAATCTGGGAGTGGATGAGACCAGGCTGGTAGAAGCTTTCCACAGACACACCATGATGGTGTTGGTAAGTACGGGATGGCATCCTGAGTGCTGTTCTTCCAGACTGCTTGCTCCTGGCTGCAGGTATAGGATACTTATAGGATCCCATTGCTTTCTCAACATGGCCCAATAAACAAACTACAGAAATAATTCAATCACCTTTCTGCCAGCCATGTCCTTCTAGAAGCTGTGTCCCTTCCTTCTTAGGCAGGCTTCATGCTCCTGTTGCTCCAGGACCAGGTTGGCCCAGTGCATTCCCTAGGGGCTAGTGCTTTGAAAGCATCTGGAGATTATTGTGGAGTACAGCTGCTCTCTTCACAAATGGGAAATTGTGCCAAAAACATATGATGGCATTTCTCTGGGAGCTTCTCACTGGAAACCTAAAGGTTTCTCAAGCTGAAAATGGCCTGGCATGGGTCCACCTGAGGAACTGCCTCCTTGTGCCAAACCACTACACCCATAGCCAGCAAAGGCACCTAATAAGAAGAGACAGTGATATTAGCAGCACATTTTGAAGAGGGCACTGTGTTTCTGGAAGGTCTCCTCAGTTCCCTGGTCCAAGTATCATTTCACATGTGTTTTGAAGAGGCTGGTCTTCACTACTTTAGGTGTGAAAAGGTACCTTTTTGAATCTAGGGTGAATCTAGATTGGATATAAGGAGGAAATTCTTTCCTGTAGGGGTGGTGAAGCACTGGAATGGGTTGCCCAGGGAGGTTGTGAATGCTCCATCCCTGGCAGTGTTCAAGGCCAGGTTGGACGAGGCCTTGGGTGATATGGTTTAGTGAGGTGTTGCTGCCCATCACGGGGGGATTGGAACTTGATGATCTTAAGGTCCTTTCCAACCCTAACCAGTCTATGATTCTATTCTATGATTCTATGAACTTCTCAGGGGAAGGCTTTGCTTGCTGTGGTAGATAGACCCTTGGTTTTACCCACTGAACAATAAACTGCAGGCTTCTTAGCAATGCCATTTCAATGAGAGTTTGCTGAACCATTTCATGAAGGATTATACATATAAAAGCAATTACACCAACTGCACTTTATCAGTATTTGATGGGTAGATTTAAAGAATGGTTTTTATCTTCCATTGTAGCAGAGAGCATCTATCTGAATGCAAGAGGTGAACAGTGGTAAAAATATAAAATGGATTAGAAAATGTGAGAGCTCTACAAATACAATTTTTTTCATGTTATGTTATAACATCAAGAGATAAATTAAGCTATTCTATTAAAGCTCTACTTTTCTTGATGAAAGATTATCAGCTAACTCAGGACCCAAGAGTTTCTGTTCTTTGTAGCAGCCATCATGATAGCAAAGTGGACAAATACATGGCCCACTGTAAACTAAGTGATCCCTTTCTTATTCATCACATATTTAATTCACTTTAGGTTCATATCAAAGAGCCTCAGTCAAAATATCTACTCATAGGCATATACTTTAGAGTCTTAACTGAACTGCAGCCTGTGCAGTCTGCATAGTCACAGCCAGAAGCTCTTTAGGGCCTTTGCTACCACAGATCTATGGATTTCACAGAAACAGAGAAACTGGAGTTGGAAAGGAATTGTGGCTTTCAGCCTGCTGCCAAGACAGGATTTTTTTCCTTTTCTGTTATTTTCTGTTCAGTCTTCCAACAAACATGATGTTACTGGGCTCTTTCCCTTCCTTATAGACTGAATAATCTGACTGATCCTCTTCAGTCATTTGCTTAGATGTTCCTCCTCCTGAAATATTTCGTATTAGGCAAGTGCTTGCTGTTTAATAGATCTTTGCAGACCTTGATGATGTCTCTGTTGCCTGGTTGCTGTTTCATCATGTCATGAGTGTGATCCTAATCTTTAGGAGATCAGTTTCTTCTTGATCTACGTCTGCAGGTTTTGAATTTATATTTTAACACAGACACGAGACAACCTTTCCAACAGAATAAAACTGTGCTTACTTATTCTTCCGTGCCCCCCTTTTTGGGTGCTACATAAATACAAGAATGGCCACAGGGAGTCAGATGGTGGGACAACTATCCAAACCAGTGTTCTGGACTAGATATTCAGGAAAGGAGGATAAAAATTAAGATCTTTTTGTGTTTCATAGAATCATAGAGTGGTTTGGGTTGGAACGGACTTTAAAGCTGATTCAGTTCCACCCCTCCTGCCATGACCAGGAACACATTCCACTAAACCAAGTTGCTCGAAGCCCTGTCCAACCTGGCCTTGAACACTTCTAGGGATGCAGCAGCCACAGCTTCTCTGGGCAACCTGTTAAGTGTCTCACCACCCTCACAGTGAGGAAATTCTTCCTAATGTCAAATCTAAATCTTCCCTCTGTCAGTTTAAAGCCATTCGCCTTTCCCTGTCACTACATGGCCTTGTAAAAGGTTCCTCTCCAGCTTTCTTATAGGTCCCCTTTTAGGTACTGGAAGGCTGCTATCAGATCTCTGCTGAGTCTTCTTTTCTCCAGGCTGAACAAGCCCAACTCTCTCAGCCTGTCCTCATAGGAGAGGTGCTTCAGCCCTCTGATCATCTTCATGGCCTTCCTCATTTCTTTTTATTGCTGTATCCTTCCAGCTTCATCTTCACCTTAGTGTCTCCACTGCTAACCATCCTGGACGTCTCCACTGCTGTGGCTGTGTTATAACAGCATAACTTCTCCATCCTGGGAAGCAATGAGAAGCTGTCCACTTATGGCTTATATTTAAAAGTCTTAACATACGTTCACAAGGCACAGAGAAACAGTTAAACTATGTCCCTCTTTCTCTCTGTCCCTTTTTTTCTTTTTTTGGAATGTTTAGGAAGTATATGTTGGCAAGGAGACTCTCTGCACCATCGATGGCCTTCATTTCAACAGTACCTATAATGCAAGAGTCAAAGCTTTCAACTCATCGGGAGTTGGTCCTTACAGCAAGATGGTTATTTTACAGACGTCAGATGGTGAGTTGGGTTTTGGCAGTTTCTAAGTGAAAAGCTGCAGGTGTCAGTGACAGGGCACTTGCATCCCTTTATACCCACTAGTATCTTTGGCACTTACTGGCATGGAGATTTTGGATCATCTGAGCAGAGAGGCCATGAACTGAGGGTGCAAAGGGACTGAGCTCTCTTCCTGGCAATTTGGGGTATTTTCCATTATCAGTAACACTTTACTTTTCAAATCATGCAATTTTATTTGGCTGTAGGAGTCTGGGGTTTGACTAAGATCCTATTTGTTTTAGCATACAGAAACAGATATGGAAGACATGCAATATTTTTATGCCACTCCATCACCTCTTCTCTATGCATCTTTGGAATTCGTCTTTTCCTTACTCCTTCAATTTCACAGCAGGGTTTGATAATACAGAGATGGGAATTCATGCTTGTTCCTCTGTAATTATACTTGACATCCATATGGGCATTACAAGAAGTTCATCTTTATTAATGATATCGTAATGAATCGAGAAGTGCATGCTATTATCACTTCCAGTTTCATGCTATGTTGCCAAAATAGGCCAGTATAAAATATTTATACTTTAAAAGCATTTTCTGTGGGTTTTTTTTTTTTTTTGTTTGGTTTTTATTTTCTTTTTCTCCCATTGCTAAAGTGAGTCCTAACCAGCATAGACACAGTGGAATTCCATTTCCATTAAAGGCAAGCCTGAACCAATTCATCTGTATGAGCAGTTTCCATACCATAAAGAAGCTTTTGTTTTCTCAACGACTTTCTTGTTACTGTGTCAGAACAAGAAGTCACTGCCCTTGTTCAGAGGAACAAGCACAGATAACATAAAGCAATTCTGAGCTAAAAACCAGCAGGGTAACGGCTCAAAGCAATCTTGTGTAGCTGTCTACAGTAACAAGGAAAAATTGTCTTTATTACCTGAAAGTGCAGCAGGGCCTCTAGGAAGGCAGAATCTCATCCTCCTCATTGAAGTGAAGCAGACAGCCCTTGAACACAGCCTGTTCTGCCATAATCCTGCCTTTTGTTTTCCCATTTCATAGTGGCATGGTTCACCTTCGACCCCTCCTCAGCTCACAGAGACATAGTGCTGTCGAACGACAACCAGACTGCCACCTGCAACAGCTACGATGACCGGGTTGTTCTTGGCACAGCAGCCTTCTCCAAGGGTGTGCATTACTGGGAACTGCATGTGGATAGGTATGACAACCATCCAGATCCAGCCTTTGGCATTGCCAGGATTAACGTCGTCAAGGACATGATGCTAGGCAAGGACGACAAGGCATGGGCTATGTATGTTGACAACAACCGCAGCTGGTTCATGCATTGCAATTCTCACACCAATAGGTAAGTGCCACTTGCATGCTTTTCTCATTCCTGATCATTTTTTCTGTTTTGCATCAGAGGAAGGTGTCTTAGCAAGCCATACGGTCCATCTCCATCCTAAATGTAGTTATTGTATTCCTTCTCTAAAATCACTAGTGACAGCAATTGCACTTTAGCAATCTGTGCTGGTGTTTGTTATCCTCACAGTTAGCAGTTCTTTTCCTGAGATCTAGCTTAAATCCCCCCTGCTGTGATGTAAACTCATTATTGCACATCCCACCTACGGCATCAGCAGACAGGAGTGCAGCACTTTGGGATATGGAATTTCTCTCTCATTGCTGGAGGAGTGCAGGGAGAAAGGTATTGGATTCCAGGAAAGATGTTGGAGCAATCTAGTCCAGTGGGAGGTGCCCATGCCCATGGCAGAGGGGTTTTAACTAGATGATCTTTAAGGCCCTTTCTAACCCAAACCATCCTATGATTCAATGATTCTGTGATTCTGTTGATTAGAAGAAATCTTGGCTGCAGGCTTGCAGAATAATTAGGCAAAGCACTGGAGATCTTCTGTCCAAAATGCAGAGAGGAAATCAATTTTGATTTAGTTTCCTATTGCCTGTCCCACCAAATATTCCACACTCACTAGCTCAGGTGTTGTTCGTTATAGCAAATAATTAAAACAAAGGCTTGCAGTGATTTTCAAATGCTCAAATGCAGGTATCATCTCCTTAAAGAGGTAAATTTATGCCCACATGCACTATATCCTAAAGCTAGTTGTAATATCTCCTGTTGAATGGTCATTTATGCTGTAAAACATTTATACTCTAAAGTATTTTAAATAACTATACTGCAATTGCTGTGAATTTTTGTTTGAAGCACAGTTTGATTTTGTAGTTCATTACAGACAGGTGGAGGAATCTTGTAGCTGGATCCAAAACTGTCTGCAGTCAATTGGAATGTTTTCAATGACTCCAAAAACCTTAAGACAATACACAATAAAATAACATCAGTATAATAAATATATCAAAAGTTTCTCTGTTGCTTTAATATCTTGATTTGATTTAGGGCAGAAGTAATGTTAAGCTGTATTAATTTTAATACTCTGTGAAACAGCTTATGTTTTCTGGAAAAAAAGCTGGCAACCGTTCTGTGTACTACTGTCCCAGAAACCTATTTTATGGATTTGGTCCTCAGCATGCTCCTACCAGCAAGCAATACACGAGCTAAGCAAAAGCTGTTTTTTTCTGGGAAGCACAAATAATGAAAACACTCTGGATTTCCAATCCTCCTCCTAAAACAAGAGAACAAAGTGCTTTCTGTTGATGATAATTTCCGAGTTAAACACAAGATAAAACACAAAGGATTCACATGCACATTCTAGGCATGGATAGACCCATGGAATAGCTGTTCAAGTGAAGTACACTCTTACAGGATATGTAGTCTTATGAAATCACATGCGCTTCAATGAAATTAGGTCTAGGCATTATATTTTTAACCTTGACAGTCAACTAGGTCAGATTTTTAACTCATTAGCTGTAATAGTCTTGTGGAAACTTGTTATTTCTGCCTAGTTGTTTTTCCCCACTGGAGACAAGTGCATGACAGCACAGTATCACAGTCCAAAGGAAATCTATTGTCACATTTTAGCCTCTCAGATGTTATTGTGATAGAGGTTGTGTCTTAAGTCATCATTTCATGCTTCCTGATCTTCATAAGAATAAATTAGGGTGATAAATAAATGACTAGCTTCAAGGGTAAGATGAGGTGAAGCTTGAAAGACCTGTTTATGGGACCTGTCGTTTTCAGAGTACTTTCCTTTTCCTTTCATTCACAGCATGCAAAATTGGACCTGTCTATATCCTTAAAAACTAGCATGACTTCTGTAATACTGGAAGAATATGCAGGAACAGAAGACTCTAGTGCTATTACAAACCTTTGAGAACAGGTTGAGTAAGGCGTTTAAGAAAACAGTTTAGGTCAGGGATATAGTTTTGTGAGGTACCTTTCAGCCTCATTGGTCCTGCAGATCAGTGCCTTGGAAGATCATGGACCAGATCCTCCTAGAAACTAAGTCACACAGAGGATAGGGACATGATTTGAGACAGCCATCATGGCTTCCAGAAAGGGCAAGTCTTGCCTGACCAATGTAGTGGCCTTCTATATTGGAGTGACTGTATTAGTGGACAAGAGAAGAGCTATGGATGTTGCCTATCTATCTGGACTTCTGTAAGGTCTTTCACAGAGTCCCTCACAACATCCTTCTCTCTCAGTTGGAGACATAGGGTTTGATGGATGGACTGTTTGATGGATGAAGAATCAGCTGGATGCTCACATCCAGAGGGTAGCAGTCAACAGCTCCATGTCCAGATGGAGATCAGTGACAAATGGTGTCCCTCAGAGGTCTCTATTGGTACCAGTACTGTTTAACATCTCCGTCAATGATACAGACAATGGGATTGAGTGCACTGTCAGCAAGTTTGCTGATGACACCAAGCTGAGTGGTGTGGTTGACACACCTGAGGGATGGGATGCCATCCAGAGGGACCTGGACAAGCCTGAGAAGTGGGCCTGTGTGAACCACTTGAAGTTCAGCAAGGCCAAGTGTAGGGTCCTGCTCTTGGGTCAGGGCAACCCCTGATATCAACGCAGGTTGGGGGATGAAAAGCAGCCCTGCCAAGAAGGATTTGGGAGTACTGGTGAATGAAGAGCTGGACATGAGCCGGCCTTGTGCACTTGCAGCCCAGAAGGCCAACTGTATCCTGGGCTGCATCAAAAGAAGCATGACCACGAGGTCAAAGGAGGTGATTCTGTTTCTCTACTCTGGTGAGAGCCCATGTGGAGTACTGCATTCAGCTCTGGGGCTCCCAGCATAAGAAGGACATGGAGCTGTTGGAGCAAATCCAAAGGAGGAGCATGAAAATGATCAAAGGGATACAATAGCTTTCCTGTGAAGAAAGGCTGAGAGACTTGAGGGTCTTCAGCCTGGAGAAGAGAAGGCTCTGGGGAGACCTTACTGCAGCCTTACAGTACTCAAAGGGGGCTTATAAGAAAGCTGGCGACAAACTTTCTATCAGGGTTTGTTGCGACAGAACAAGGGGTGATGTTTTAAACTAAAAGAGGGTATGGTTTCACTAGATATAAGGAAGACATTTTTTACAATGAGGATGGGAGAACACTGGGGAAGAGATTGCCTAGAGAGGTGGTGGATGTACCATCACTAGAAACTCATGGTCAGGCCGGATGAGGCTCTGAGCAACCTGATTTAGTTCAAGATGTCCCTGCTAACTGAAGGGGAGTTGGACTATGTGACCATGAAAGATACTTTCAGTCCAAATGATTCTATGAGTCTATGAAGTAATCAGTTCACACCAGAGATGTTGTATGCCTGTTGCTAAGAGGCACTGGCATTCATTGCAATAGATCCCTTCCTTGGCAAAGCTGCCAAGAGCAGGAGTACCTGATGCTGTAGGCGATACTCTAGCCACTACATGGTTATTTAAAGAAAGAGATGGAAGTGAAATTTCTACTCGCACTGAAATGTTTTATACTGAAAGACAGTGCAAAGTAGAAATCTGGAGAACTTGGAGTGTGGTCTTAAAGCACCCTGCTATCAGGAGACTCTTCACTGACTTCAGAGTTACCAAGGCCAGGTTTTCATCACACAAAAATGTTATAATTGACTAAAAAATACTGTCTTTGACAACAGACATGGTAAAGTTGTTAAGTTACTCTAAGGCTTATGATTAAAACACTGTTCACAAAGAGTTAGACTAATTGTTCAGTTTGTTAAAGTGTCCATAAACACTTGTTTATTTTTCAGTACTTGTGAAACTTACTACTATCCTTAACTCCTCAAGCCAATCCATGCCATCCTGTTCTGCATATTGTCCAAGGTGTTGCTGGCACCTTAGAATAACAGTCTCCACTGCCACAGGCAATGGTATTTTTCATGGTAGCCAACCTTCCAGGCATTGCACAGCACTTCCACGCTCAAGGTGTATGGCTGCACACAGAAATAAGAGTGCAGGACTGTGAGAAAAGAGGTGTGAGAAACTTTGACTCTCCCACCTCTTCCTAAAAGAAGGGACCATGACTGTAGTCCAAAAAGCACTGGAGTCCTCAAAGTACTGTTCCCAAGGAAACCATGGGATGCTCGGGAAGAGCAGCTGTTCAGCCTCAGAAAAACCCCAGCCTCTTTGGCTGCAGCATGGCAAAGTGCCCCTTGTTGCCTTTGCCCTGGCTTCATCCTGACAGAGCTGGTTGCTCACTATGGGAGGTGGCAACCAAGTAACAGGCAATCTCCCTGCTGAAGGGCTGCAAGACTTGTGGCAGCAAGGAAGGGAGAGGGTCCCTATCCCTCTGCTCTGCCCCCAGTGCCCTGTGGCTCCTGCAGCTGGGTCCTGCCCTAGCCTTGCCTGGGCTCTGCAGGCAGCATCCATCTCCTGTGCAATGGGCTGTCCCCAGGGGCTGCAGAGGAGTCATTCAGTGTCACTGTGCAGCACACAGCTAATTAGCCCACAAGAAGCAAATTAGTTTATCATATAGGAAAGAGCATAATAATCTCAAAAAGGCAAAGTTGCTGTTCCTGTTTCCCTAAGAGAATCAATGATGTCACTTAAAAGGATGTCATAAAATCTATTTTAAAACACTGCAGGATATAACACATGGTGCCCTACAATCAAAGCTGTTCCTAAACAAGAGAAAAATAAATCTCTGCATAGATAGCTCTAGATCACAGTACTGTTGCTTCCCCACAACCTCATCAGGAGTTTTGTGATGGAGTGCTTTTAACAGAAACAGACTAGATACTGAGATACGGAGGGCAGGTACGCACCTTTAATGTTGATGGAAAATATTGTACATTAGGGTTTTGGAGAAGAGTTAGAAGGGAACCCTATTAATACATATAGCATCAGAAAGCAAATAAAGGGAACCTGAGAACAGTAAAGCTTGAAATCTCATGCATCTCAGAGACGGTTTGTGATTCTCACCTATATTGTTATTGTTTGAAGAGCTTTAAGTGGGGAAGTCAGAATAGTATAATGGTATGCTATACTATTATGTCACAAACAAAACTCCCTTTATCTTCAGAGGCAATGCCATGTGCCGCATTTAGTCCAAAGGAAACCAGTCTGTGACACCTAGTGGACACGACGAGAATTTCTTACCCTGCGCTACATTCTTCCTAATCCCATTTTGACCTCCCTGCTCTTTTTTCCATTTGGTTGGGTTGTTTTTGTTGGGATTTTTGTTTGGTTTGTTCGGGGATTTTGTTTGCTTGGGTTTGATGGTTGGTTTTGGTTGTTTTTTTTTTTGTTGTTGTTGTTGTTTGGGGTTTTTTTTTATGTTTTGCCTAGCTATTATGATAAATGCTACGTTAAAATGCATTACTCTTATGAATGTTTGTGCCTGATGGGAGGACAAAAGACAGCTGCTTCCTTTCCTACTGCAAATTGTTTGAGATCTGATTTACCCTGAACAAATTGTGTCAGGCTGTAAATCCATCGCAGAGCCCCCATGATATTAACAGAGCAGCAGTGCCTGTGGCCAATCTGCATATCTAGTAGATTTTTTTGCTGAGCACTCTCTAAAGTAATACTGGGTTTGACTAACCCCCAAATCAAAGTGCATTAATGTCAAGTCACTCAAGCGTGTAATGGCTGGCTGAGTCTGTCCTGGCAAGCCCTGATAGCACGGTATCTCTCAGCAATTGCTCCTGACACAACCAATTATCACTGGTATTAATAGCCATGCCTACACTCTTGAAGCAGCTCCCAGGCCTATAGCTGAGCAACTTCTCAGAGAGTTATGCTTATCCTTAACCAGCTCCACATTCCTTTTCTCCCTAAAACCACTGTATGTTTTGCCTGTGCTGGCTCACTGATCTCTGCAAAGCTGAGTCCTCTTAGGGAATGCCAAGGTGAGCACTTGAACTGCAGCTGTTATCAGGAATAATGATTAGAAATTAACACCTAGGAAATCAGCTTTGTGTTTTCATTCTCTGCTGTGCATCACTCACTATAGCAGGGATGCTCTGAGAAGCCATGTCTTCAGGACTCCTGTTCCCCATGCCTAGAACTGACCTGCTCATCTCCCCATCTCTTATCAGGTGTGGGAACCTGTTAGCTCTAGACCCCATTTTCAGTTTATAGATTGCAGCTGGAGGAGAGGTGGACCTAATTTCTCTTTAGGATCCCCCCATTAAGCTGCCATGAACATGGCACATATGTTTCAGATGAAGATGTGGATCAGTCATTGCCAAATGCTGGGGGACAACCATTTAACCATACTGCTCCACTCTCTCTTTCCTTAGTAAGACTGCACCATCCTAGAGAGAGAGCAGCAGCAGTGTAACACTTTGCCTTCACTAACAGTGTGGTCCCCTTTTACCTTAGGACTGAAGGAGGAGTTTCTAAAGGTGCCACTGTTGGTGTTCTCCTGGATCTGAACAAGCACAACTTGACCTTTTACATAAATGGGCAGCAGCAAGGGCCTCCAGCATTTGAAAACATTGAAGGTGTCTTCATGCCTGCGCTGAGCCTCAATCGAAACGTCCAGGTAAGTCTTCTGCAATTCAGTCCCACTTACCCTTCCCAGCTAAAGGAGGATGTATGCTACCAGCCATTGCTGCTGGGGTTGATCACGTCCTCTGTAGGCAGTCAGTATGGGTGGGGGCTATTCCCTTCTCAGACAGACACCCAAGCTACTCATGCGGAAACTGCACTTGACCTTCTGCCTTGCCTGGCAGCTGTGAGGAGTGATGCTGTAAGAAAACAAGTCAAAGTACCTGCACACATTAACCCCTACACTTAGCAGCAGTGCTCCGCTTGGAAAGCAGTACTGCTAAGGGTTCCTCTGCCTGTTTGGATAAAAGCCATAAGTACCCTCATTCCTCTTAGATCTTATATTTGGAGATCATTAACATTGTTAAGAGGCAGAAATGTGAGCAGCACAGCAGTGAGGAAAGCAAAGACAAGACAGGTCAGAATATTAGTGCAACAGAGAGGACTCAGCACATCATGCCTGCTCATTCTGAATTTTGGAGATTTGTCTCTGTTCTTAAGAGGATCTTCTCCTGGAAGAGTCCTCTTTAAATAAAATGCATTTTTACTTGAAGACCACTGCATATGGCTAGGAATAGGATGTAGTGTAAGGGAGAATCTATGGAAGCACACTGAAGCCTGAGGATTGAGGGAGGTCAGCTTAGGTCTGGCAGGACCAATGCAGCCAGGGTGGAACACTCATCATTTTAAACACCCAAACTGAAAACAGAAACCTTATGTGGCCTTATTAATACATGAGCATTTAGCGTTCATTACTGGTGGCATCCAAAACTTTCAAGAAGCTGCCATAGCTTTATTGTATTTGATGCACCAATGTGGAAGATGTGGGCACTTCTTGGGGCACCTCGCTGCCATATTCAACAAAGATTTTTTTACTCACAACCTACCTTTGGTTTTAGCTGCCTACATCCTTTAAGTGCCTGGCTTTCACTTCTTACCACAACAGAGTTAAGACTGAGAGTGGCCAACAAATGGGCAGGGGGAACTCTGAGCTTGTATTTGTCTTTGAATGGTGCTCTGGTATGTCTGTGTGGGAACTCTGATCTTGTAAACACATCAGGTTACAGAAGGAGTACTCCAAAGTCCTGGGCTCTGTCAACCAAGACAGCAAAGATAAAAGGATTTCCTTATGTTTAGTACATGGGCTCCACTGTGTGATCCCTGTCCTGAAGTGTTCAGGGGTCCCTCACGCAAAGACTCCATCCACCTTGTGGCATGCAAGCAGCACTAATGGAGACCTACAGGTAGTGTCTGGATTTTGGAAGAGATATGGACACCTGCCTTCTAGCCCCCAAGGTGTTGAGAAGAGAAGGGGGAAGAAGACTTGTTTTTTTCAGGAGCTCAGTATTATCCCTATTAATATTACTGATGACTTAAACCTGGACTTGAAATCCCACAGCCCTTCCCCTGTCATTTACTTGCTCCTGGCCTTCACAGATGCTTTCTGCTGAGGATGTCCCAGTTTTGAATGTACATGTTGTTTCTTCTTTGTCCAGGTGACCCTACACACAGGACTCGAAGTACCACAATGTGTGAAACAATCCAAGCTGCCCAACAACTAATGAAATCCCTGCCTGACCTTGACCTGGATTCTGTAAGCTTTCTCAGTGTGATTTGGCACTTTTTAGCAAGTCAGTAAAATAAGCATTCTCTTCCCTGACTTAAAGTACTGTACAGCATGTTGCTCACTGAATAACCACTGGTTACAGCTAGCCCACTCCATTTTTAATTTAACAGCCATAGCAAGCATACCCACTGAACTGGCACTCAGTTGCAGATGGGTACCTGAACATATCTACACTGCATCGCATACATATGTACACGTATGTGCACACACACATGTGCATTATAAAGCAAAAGGTTAAATAGGTGTATTTTCTCTCTTATGGCTGTATTTGTGCTTAGAAGATATTAGGGATGCTGGAAAAAATGTGTAAGACTAACCTGAGGGTCAATGGCTATTGGAGCAATTTGCCAGTAGGTGAACTGGATTCCCTTGCCACCTGAAGTCCTTAAATCAAGAAAGAATATGTTTTGACAGCTGAAGTGGAGGTTGTGTGCTCAAGAATTCCTGGTTGTTCATTACATTCAGGGGCTCAAATGACCATTAATTGTTCCTTCTGGCTCTAGACTGCAGTTAGCCATGGGATAAAATCCCCCTACAATTCAGTGGCAGAACTTCTTATCTTCAACAAGAATAAGCTTGGTTTCCAAACACTGCCATGCAATAGTAGTGCTCATTTTAGCTAACACCATGATACATGCAGAATTCAGATACAAAAAGTAGAGAGAAAAATATCCTTGATGCATTTTAGTGTTTGATATTTAGGTGTGATAGTGGAGACTATCACATACAGACATTCTCATCATGGTTATAAGCACAGCTCTTGAAAAACATTGCAGGGTCTTTCAATTGAATTGATAAGAGATGTACTTTAATACAGCATGTGCAAGGTGTCCCATGTAGAGAAATGCTACTTTCCAGCCTTGATAAGCCCTGGGCAGCTGTAGTTCCAATGTAGCTTTGAGATCACAAGCCTTAATTTTCTATTAGATTAGTGCAAGCTAATTAATATCTTGCTTAATGAAGCACTTGAGTGAGACAGATTCACAGCATTATTGTGAAATGTGTCCCTAAGAATTTTTTTGCACTGGGGCGTAAATCTTTTGCAAGACTTGCCCGTATCTGGATTTCCCATGAAAACAAGCAGCCGTTTAGGTGCTGCCCATGAGAACTGGAGGCTGACTGACAGGAACATCTAAACCCAGCTAACATATGTAAGCGGAGGGGGAGGGAAGCAGCCCAGAATGGAACAGTCCCAGCCTATTGCACAGGCAAAAAGCAGTCTGCCATCGTGCTGCATGTAGCTAACCAAGCATCCTGTAGCCCACCTCTCCTGCAGAAAGCAGTGTAACTTCAGTGATTTCAAGACTGAAAGAGGAAATATACCAATGATGGGAAAAAAAATAACAGAAGCTTTTAAGTGGGAAAGCAATGGTACTTTCTTCAAAGTCTGGAACAGATTGTATTAGTAAACTTGTAGGCATTGGAATAACTGTGCTGTGCTCATCTTGGTTTCTTGAAGAATAGCAGATATTGACTGTATTGTGATGTTCAATTTTGTTTAGTACCGTATGAACTTGTGCAGGATTTTCTGATTAGTGGGTCTGTTTTAACCTACCTCAGCTAGAATGCTACCAGACCCCAAACTTCCTCGGGTGTGCTCTTCTATGAACATAAAAGTTGTAATCATAGCGTTGGCTTTGAGTATTGTAAGTCAGAGCGGTGTACGGGAATACTGTACATAACTTGCACATAGATTTTTATATTGGGAAACATCCCATGATAATTTTAATGCAAAAGGCACTCCACTTTCACTGGTATTAAAAACAAAAAGGCACTGTTAGGTTTGGGACAGAACCTGTGTCTTTACTCCCAACTTCTGTGAAGAAAACTCAAATGAATCTTTCCAATGTTCAACCATTGCCAGATGTTTAATTCTAAATGGGTTTCAGAAATATTTGCAGTACTCTGTTTTGGTTTTCATAGTTGCTTTGGTGTCGGTTCCTAATGTGTTATACTTTGGGGAGAACACAGTGAGTGATACAGGTTACTAATTCCTAGTGGAAGTATGGACAGTAGGTAGAGACATGTTTCAGAGCTGTGGAGAAGCTCATTTGTTATCCTGTACATGTTTATAAAAGTAAGGTCCAGACTAGCTATCACGAGTCTTCTTTGAACCTAGGAGAAATGCCCTTAAAATAAAAGGAGTACGTTTAGAAGATAGGTAACCTGCATTAGTAAGAATAATTTAGCCCAAGTCAAAAACTAAACAAAGTGGTTGCATGTGTTAGTTGTGTACACGTTCAAGGACTTGGGTTTGACGTGGCTCATAGCAATCAGCTAATTACCCCAATAGAGTGTAGTCTCGTGACTTCAGCTGGATACATTTTGACAGCTTGATTAACAGAAATAATGTTTGAGTAGTTAGAATTGCGCTAGGAAACTAATGACTCCACACATAAATATTTATGCAGAACATCCACATGGTGTTGGCCATCTGAACATAAGCAGAGCAGAATTGCCTTTTGCGGAACAGCATCTAGTGGAAGAACTGGTGCACTCCCACCTGTGCTCAGGTTGGAGGTAGTTTGCTTCTCTGCAGGTAACTTCCCAGAGGTGTCTCTCCTTATAAACCCAGCAGTTTGCATGCTCTTCATCTACAGCGTCTCTTGTGCCAGTTTTTGTTTCCTCCAAATCCCTTCTTTAGGAGGTACTCAGCCTTTCACACTATGGTCCTTGCAGGAACTGTGTTGCTGACTGTCCAGGGAGAACCCAGGGGCCTGAAAAGTGGCATAGATCCCCAGGGGGAGCACTTTGGATGTTCTTGCTTGCTTTTGATTCCTTGGGGTATTTGTGCAGCTCTTCGGGACTCCAAGATCTTCTGTCACCTTGTCCTGCACAGAGCTGCCTTTCATGGGACTTTTGCTCCTAAGGGCCAGGCTGTTCCTGAGAAGCCAGAGAGCAGAGCCTTTTGCACTGCAGTGATTCCCATCAACTATGGTACAAAGCCCACATAAGGTTGGGAAATTGACTTAATGTTTAAAAACAAAAAACCCAAACCAGAAACAAAAGAGTCCTTTTCTAATAAACATAACATTTGACTTCTGCATACACCAATCTGGAACCCCTGCAGAGCTGCTAAATAAATACAGCAGGCAAACTTTCTGTTCAGCAAAGCAACAAAGGACTCTTAGTTTTTATCAACCCCCTGATCTCCAATCTTAGCCTTTGTGAACCTTCTTCCTGGCTCTTTCTGCTGCTAATTTTAGTGGGAACAATCAGAAGATGTGTGCCACAGGAGCACTGTCACATTTCCCAAGGTGTGCAGTCCTACACTACTTCAACTCCCTTCTTTTCCCTCATCCACTCAGAAAGAGCTCGCAAGATGATCTCTTACTAAGACTTGATATAAATATGAGCACAAGCCTAGCTGACAACCCCTTACTACTGCTGTGGAAAGGTATGCACTGTAAAACAGATGTCAGTGAGGAGAGTACCACACTGTGATGTATCATGAATTTGGAAAGCAATTTGGCTCTAAAAACACAGAACAGGTAGGCAAACAGCATTGTCACCTCTTATACTTGCCTATTCAGTTAAGATATGTAAGGGAAAATACATAGGACTAAAATAAAAACAAACCCAAACCCCCAAACAAAAACATAAGCTTATGTAGATCAGTTTAAGGGGAAAAGTATTAAATGTAACTTATTATATGCATAATGTTCCATCATGTTGTAAATAATGCTACGATAGTGTGTTGCCGTAGTTTGTTCTTGGCTGGTGATAGAGTTCTGTCATAGTGCTGTGTTTTATATATATATTTTCTTTCCCCCCCCCAAGTCTAGTTAGTAAAGATGCCAGAGAGCTCCTGATACTCTGGTTTCCGAGTTGTTCTAGAGCAAGGAGAAATGTGAGATGCAGCTTTTTGTTTCCTTCTTACATAATAATATTTCTGAAATGAGGTAAGAGAGAGATGAGATCAAGGCTAAGCTGCCACTACTACCATATGAAAACCACTGTGATTGCAACTGCCAGCAAGAGGCAGTGCATTTCTGGACCACAATTCCAATTACTTCTGTGAGAAGGGATGCAAAGTACCAACGATCTGGTAGCTTTCTGGTGCCATCTAGTACATCCTTTGCTCACAAACAGAAAGAGGAGGAAAGAGAGTCATTAGACCAGCTTTGCAGCATTCTGCTTAAACAGCAAAGTCAGGGATTCAACTTTGAACCAGGCAAGGTAATATGAAAACCCCAAGCATCTTGGCTAGATCAGCTTTGGAAGGGAGATTCCAGTTTCAAGTCTGACAGGTTATGGTAACAAGTCAACCACACTGCAGGTGTAAAGGGCACTTGTCACTCAGAATTACCAAGCAAAGATGGAGAGTCTTTCTTTTTTTATTTTCCCTAATGAAAAATTGAGCTGCTTCTGGTTTTTACTGACAACATTTCTGGTGGTTCCTCTGCCCAGCACTACTGAACACTGCACATACACACGCAACTGGCTGGAGTAACAGCCTGAAGCACAAATCCATCATAACTAGGACACACTTGGTCTTCTTACATGCGGAAGCCCATATGCAAGCCACAGAGACTAGATGTGTGGGGCTTCCGCATCTTTGCACAATAGAGGGGATAAGTGTGTGTTTTACTGACAGAGGCACTCAGCAGTGTCTTCCCCTTCTGTTGAAAGTGACCTTTTTGTGACATTTGTTATTGCAGACAGATCCAAGCAGAATTCATTAGAGAATTATTTTTAATGCTGATTGGAGATTTCTCACATTTTCCTATGAAACAGGAGATAGAAATATTCCTGGATCCTGACTGCATTCCTTCGTCCTTCAACTCCCTTAAATGTTGTCAATAAAAACACTAACTTTTCTAGGTAGCATGGTGAGAAGAATTATGTGATGAATATTAATAATAAATGCATGAGGTAAACCTGCTGTTATTTCTGATTGTTACATGAAGCATGAGTAACACTAATTTAAATGTTGGCAACCAAAAATGTGCGAAGGAAAAAGATAACGGTGTTTACTTCTCGTTAAACGAAAGATGAGAAGTTGTTCCTGTGTTTTAACCACGGCATTTCTTTCTTTACCATCATTTCCCATTGCTTATATGAATTTGGAGCTGGTGAAATATACATCTCTGCTGTATGTGTCTGTCACCAGATCAAGAGGAAAATACAAACCTTTTATAATTTTGTACCTGCAGCGAACGTTTGTATTTTTTGAATTGGAAACAAACTGCTTTTTTGTCTTTTGGTCCAACTAAAACTTTGTGTACTGTTATTATTATTATTACCCTTTTGGAAAACCTGACCTATGAGTTTATGCTGTTTTACAGTTTCTAAATAAATTCTTATAACATTGCCAACAAATTCAGCATCAATACCCTCTTTATTATTACAAAATTACTATAAAAGTATATTATGTCATAATGTGGATGAGGCACTTCTGTAGGATTGTCCTGGGTTCAGCCGTATCAGTCATTTTTTCTCCTTCTTAGTAGCTGGTGCAGTGCTGTGTTTTTGACTTTCAGCCTGGGAACGGTGCTGATAACACCGATGTTTTTAGTTACTGCTCAAATGTTTGGTCTGGCCAAGGACTTTGTGAGCCTCATGCTCTGCCAGGGAGGAAGGGAGGCTGGGAGGAAGCAGGGACAGGACACCTGACCCAAACTGACCAAAGAGGTATTCCATACCACAGCACGTCATGGCCAGGGAGGTAACTGGGAGTTACCTGGAAGGGTGCTCTCTGCTCGGTCGGGCTCGTTTCGGCAGGTGGTATCGTATTCTCTTCCCTTGTTACTTCCCTTATCATTATTATTATTGGTGGTATCAGTTTGTGTTATACCTTAGTTACTGGACTGCTCTTATCTCACCCCATGGGAGTTGTATTCTTTTGATTCTCCTCCCCATCCCTCTGGGAGTGGGGTGGGGGGAGAGGGGGAAGGGAAGGGAAGGCAAGGAAGGGGGAGGGGAGTAGAAACTGCATGGCTGAGTTGCCGACAGGGCTTAAACCACGACGAGGCTGCATGCATAACTCTTGATGATACCTGCTTTGTTACCACATAACATAAAATAACCTGGTACCTGCAGAAAGCCAAGAGTCCTCCCTCTGAGCAACCATCTGCGCCTCAGCTTCAGACGTATGGAACTCCTCTCTTCCTCAGGACCACTCCATTAACTCTGGCTCGTGTTGGTTATAGTGTACCTGAGGATGTGTTACTTAGCTCCAACCCGCCTTAGGCACTTCAGGTGATTTCCCAGTCTCCATAAATCTCTGACGCTGGAGTAAGCAGAGACTGGAAATAACTGTGACCGATTGGAAATGCCTTCAGATGAATGTAAGAGTCAGAGAGGACAGGAAGCTTCTCAGGGCAGGAAAGACAAAACTTTGTGAGATAATTTAACATGACATACCATCTTGGAGCTGCACGCCTCTATCGAGCAAATGCCTTGTGAGGTACTGAGCAATGCTAGAGGCAGCACACTCACCTCTGCAAATGGCACTCATCAGAGCTTTGCAACCTTCATAAATGTCTGTTAATAAAGCAGAATAAAACATGCCAGCACACTAACAGCAGCACCAGGTAAGAAACAGAAACCAGGCCAAAACAATCAGGAGTAAGTACAGACAAGAATGAGGAGACACCATCCATCATGGCCTTTTTTTTTTCTGTCTTCCTACAAGAGACAATAATTTGGTGTCAACTCCTTCATGGCAAAGGGTTTGTGAAGAAACGTAACCAGAATGATTTTAGCATATGGGGAAACAGGAATAAAATTGTCACAGGAAAAGGCATGTGAAAGACACCAGATATTCTTGCTTTATCCCCCATTCCTCTATTCAGCTGCAGATAAGAGGGCAAAATAAGACAATCCCTGCTCTTTCTCACCCGTAATCAGTTATTCAGTCAACACTGGCTTTAATCTATCAGTACATGCTCCAAAAGCAAGACAGCCTGCTGCCTGAACATGCATTTCATACCCTGTTAATTAATAACACACACCAGTCCAAAGAAGGAGTAGGTGTACAACAGGTTCTCAGCAGTTTGTTTGCCAAATGTCTAATGTCCTTATTTTTGTTAATCCATCTAGTAACAAAACAGGTCTGCTGGTACCAAGTTTACCCGAGCACTCTGGGGATTTGATATAAAACCCCCCAACCTATCACCCTGTAAGAGAAACCTTTCGTATGTTAAATGAGTGAGAAAATACAAAGTTCTAATAAGCTTTTATTTCCCCCTCTCCCCCAAGCCTCCATGTCCCACTGTCAGCTCCACATTGCAGTTTATAACCTGTTATTGTAAGAACTGATTTTTTTTCAACTCTTCTTTAACACAGCTTAAAAGCTTGAGACTGCAAAAATGGGACACTTCATTCTGACCAAGTTTCACACTTAAATAGCTTCTGGGAGCTGTGGAGGTGGAAAGTGAATCCTTTAAGTTACCAAAGCTGATTGAGGACATAACTCCCACAGCATGTTATGTCCGAAGCCAGCTGAACAAAACTTTATCTAGAAGCAAGCAGTGAAAACACAAGCTCAAGGATTAACCAGGAATTAAAAAATACAGGTTATCCCACAACATCCAAAGCCCATCTGTTGCCTCAACAGGTCTTGATTGTACTCAATTCTGCTTAGTGATTGATGACACCTTCACACGCAATTATGATTTAGTATTTCTCTAAGCTGGTAACCGGATAAGACTGTTAATTCTGGTGTGAATCTGCAACCAGTAATAAATCAAATTATGCAATTATGAAACGTGATAACAGTATTTAGCAACCAAACTGCACAGCCCTCTTCTCATATGGCTCCAGAAACACTCCCTTCCATTTTTTACCCAGCTGTTATTCTCCCTGGGCTGTCTCCCTCCTCTTAATCCTCTCTGTGCTGGCAAAGCACTTCTCAGGACCTAAAAGTAAGGTAGGAGTGTACCAGAAAATGTCCTTTTCTGTGGTGCGGCTCTCCCTACCCCAGATTACATCCCTATCCTGTGAAGGGCACAGCCTCCAATACTGCTATTGGGAAGAGGACCATGCTGCTGTTCTTCTTGCTGCAAGCTAGCACAGACCTTGCTGCTCACACAGGGTTAGAGTCCATCTTACTCGGGCTCCCAGGTGGCAGTGAGGAAGCATGCCTTGCTTCCCCAGACTGCAGGGTACACCAAAGTTCATCAATGTACCTAGATGTTTCTCCAATAAGGGCTGTTTTCCTTCTCATATACACCTGCTTCAGAGTGCTGGAGCACCTCTCCTATGAGACAGGCTGAGGGTTGGGTTGGTTCAGCATGGAGAAGGCTCAAGGTAGACCTTACAGCAGCCTTACAGTACCTAGAGGGGGTCTACAAGAAATCTGGAGAGGGACGTTTTACAAGGGCATGGAGTGATAGAGCAAGGGATAATGGCTTTAAACTGGAAGAGGGTAGATTTACATTAGGTACTAGAAAGAAATTCTTTACTATGAGGGTGGTTAAGAGGACATTTTGGAAGGCTACTAACCACTGCCATTTCTAATGGAAACATGACCTTGAAAACAAAGAAACAAAGAATAGCTACTGAGGACAAAACAGTTCTTTCAGAAATACCACATCTGAAATCCAAACTTCAGTTTTGACAAATATTTCATGTAAAAGCTTTATGAGGCACGGGAACACTGATCAAAACATGAGCTAAGCATGAACAACCAGAAACTATTGAGTGTCTATGTCTCATTTGGTTCAGTCTTGCATGATCTCGTTTTGAAAACCAAACCAACCAAGGCACCACACCACCATTTGAAACAGTGCTTATTTAGAGCTCTCTGCAGAGATGTGCAAGTTAAGTCTGGAACTCTACCTGGGACAGAACTTCAGAAAAAAATCTCATTTTCATTCTAAAGCAGAAAATTTGAAAACCATAAGAAGTTTTGCTGGGCAAGAAGAATGTTGAGCAGTTCCACTATTCACTAACAGTCTCTAAAGATACAGACACAGATATATGCCTGATAAATGCTTGACAATACCCACTTGAGGTTCAAAGCAAGTAAGGTGTTGATTTTTCCATACTTTTTCCAGAAGAAAGCAAAGAGCTATATATTTCAATCCATTAATTAATGGATTAGATGAATATTTTACTTACAGTCAATAGTGATTCTAGAAAGTAAAATGATTTCTTTAGCATGTACTGACTAATAAAAAGTCTGAGCTATACATTCTTTATAAAAAGTCTTATTTTTATTTATAAAATGGTACATTCTCTTATTCTTCCCAAGGCAGAATGGAATACAGAAACCCCTGCAACAACAAATAAGGTAAAAAATAGTGGGAAGGTGAGAGGCTTAATAAGTCTGTGTTGGTAGCAACGTGAATTCTCTCTTATGCATATTGTCCATTTTACTCTGTATTGTAAGTTCATTTGATAACTTTGGATGATTTAATCTTCTTTATATCACGGCTTTGCAAAATCAAGGTCCCATCTCTGAATTTTCCGACTTGTCCTGCAGGCCAAATGCTAGGCACTGATTTCTTCCTTTTGGCCTTCCTGAAATAGAAGAACAACAAAAAAGTAGTAAGAGAAACAAGAGAAACTCATGAAAACTCTTAGTATGGTGAAAAATATCCGAGCAATTAGTGTTTGGTATTATGGAATATCACATCATAGCAAGTAATGACCCCAGAACATTTACTGCCTGTGGAGACATTCAAAATTTGCAGCACATTACCAAGTGATTTATATTTTAAAGAGTTTAGAAACACAAAGACTTTTGGAAAGAGCAAGGAAAGTGCATTTCAGTGAACCTGCTACACTATGATTAAGAATGTCACTTCACCTTTCAAGCCTCTGTATACTGTAGCTTGTTTTGCACAAATTAATTCTCAGAGCGAATGCTCTGTGTAAGTGGTACACGCTGGGTCTGCACTTAAGGATTTCCACCCATCTCACCTCTGGCTGCAGTCTTAGACATGTTGGCACAGAACTGATGTATTTTCAGTTAAGCTGCATAACTAAAGCCTTTGAAACTGTGAAGACACAGAGTAACATCACCATTTTGTGACTGAGTCCTTCTGCAGTTGGAGAAGTTCCTTCCACTGTGATCTGCATGACTTCTGGTATAAGACTGTGCATACTTACGTTAGGAAAATACACTGGGGAGGCTATACAAAAGCAAGTTTTTTTTAACCATGTTAAAAATAGCTCACCTCTCCTTCTTTTCTTTCTTCTTCTTAAGAGAATCACCTTTATGTTCCTGCTTTTAAAGATACATATTTTAATGGAAAAGGAACAGAGCATATTGGCTAAACAACCACCTGTACAGAACACATACAGTTGGTAGCCTTTGCATCATGAAGCAGCAGACATTTAAAGCAGGTTGGGAGACCTTCTGATAGGCCAAGTGATGCATCACGTTACAAAGACACTGCTAGGAGTGCCCAGAGGCCTTCCTGTCACCTTATGGAAAGTACACCCTCTCATGACAAACATGCTGCCACTGCTATGTGAGGAAAGAGGCTTGCTTCTTGGGCATGTGACAGATCATTGGGTCAAAAGATGGACTTGTTCCCTGGCAGGTGTGTCTTGTCACCTGACTGAGCATACCTGTCAAATAATAGGGTTCAGCCATGTCTGGTCATGAACTGGATGCACTTTGAGCCACATGACAAAGGAGAAGCAGGTCCCCTTGGTGGCATGGAACAGGCTGGTCGAGCAATTACCCGCCCCACATTCTGCTCCCACCTACATGAGAAGGCTCCGTGGAGAGGCAGGGAGTAGGCTCAGAGCCAGATGGGTCATATTAGAGGACAGATGCAACAGAAACCTCACCCTTGCTTTAAACAATGAGCAAGATCATAGATGGAATTGTGCTGACATAAAAGCAGCTGAAGATCTGTCTCTCTGTGATCAGACAACAGGCAACAAACTTTCATTGAAGGGCACTCTTTCCCCCTTAAGAGGCAAGAGAAAAAAACAACAACAAATCAACAACTGGTGATTTTGTGTCATCAGTCTATCAGCCTCAAAGGATTAAGCAGTGAAACCCATCACAACACAAGCCTAACTCCATGGCCTTCACACTGCACACAGGCAGCTTTTACTAATGAGATTAGTCTTCCTGGAGCCAGGAACCCACTCCATGGGGAGCAGCCAGTGTCAAGCTAGGGCACTCCTCCTGCGCCTGAGGCATTATCTGTCAGGGTCTTGGACTAGCTCTTACATGCTGCCTTTTTACACAGAAAACGTAACACAAACCTTTCCCTTATCATCAGCCTTTGCTGGTTTTTCCTCTTTCATTTTCTTTTGGTAAGTCTTGTTGTTCCAAAATTCCTTTTTGGGGGGCTGCAATAAAGAGTGGGAGGGATACCACTGGTGAAATTTTCAAATAGGTTCAAGAAGTATTCACACACTTTCACGGACAATATTCTTCACGTGGTGGTGGCAGAACATTAGAAATGGTTTATTTCCTTTTGAGTGAGAAGAAGGGACTAAGGGATGCAAGCTAAACACATAAAGAGGGATGTTTATGCTTTATATCAGTCCTACAAGGCTTCCACATAACACACTGAACTAGAAAGAAAACCCACACCTGCCAACCCCCCAAAAACCTACAATTTTACTTTTTCCTTTTACACCACTGATAATAAATAAAATTGGAAAGTTCTCCCATCTTTAACTCAACAGAAGAGTGAAGCTTTAAAGCACAGTCCCCTCCCTCCAACAATTTAGTTCCGATTGATCTGAATAAAAAATAAAATCAGTAAGTGTTGGTTTCTGCCCCATCAGTCATATTTCATCTATACAACATCTCTGATAACACAACCACACTCATTTCCCAAACATCTACATAAAATAGACAAAACAGAATAGAAAATACAAAAGTAAGGATGGAGAGGAAGAAGAGACAGGGGCAGGAAATCTTCTGTTTCAAACAAATAGTGGCAAACCTATCCAGTGCTTTTACTGCTTTCCTGCACTGTAACAGCTGGGTGACAGCACAAACCAAGTGACAATTACCTTGGCTCCCAGCATGATAGCACGCTCCTGTTCCCATATGCGTTGTTCCTGCTTCTTGTAGCCAGTTATTCCAAACTTGTGCACTTCCAGACGAGCCTAAAACATTACAGGAAATTGCAAGCACTTCATAATCTGTCCAACTTGTTGTAAAATAACTCTTACCAGACCACAACAAGGTCATACTCCCAAAGAAACTCTGGCTAATACCTGAAATCAACGTGCTATAAAATACCACTGAATTTAAATTTAAAGCTGTCCTGCAGAACAGTTAACCACCGTCTATCCAATCTCTGGGTGGTGAGGACTGTCAGGAGGACAATTTTCCATTCTCATTTCACATAAAATAACATGGAATGGATTGCCTCCATATAAAAATAAATTATATTGTGCTGCACAAAGAACAATGAAATGCTCTACCCACAGCACCCAACATTTACACAATGTCCTCATTCCTTGGCTGCAGAGCACTTAACCAGTGAGAAACATAGATGGGCAGAGGGTGAAGTGGCTTAACTACACACATACATATACCTGACACTGCACAAGAATACCCTTGCAAAACCAGTGCTGAGTTCATCATCTTTTTAAAGTCAATGGTTAAATCCAGGCTGTTCTTAGCAGTACAGAGCTCCATATAAAATTTCCAGTGAGAGATTTCACTGGATCACAGCACATCCCTGCAGAGATCAGGCATATAAAACAACTTGCACAGATCTGCAAACAAATCACTAAGAAGGACAATGCTAGTTATATTCCTATAAGAACAGATGAGACTAAAAAGACAAATGGAAAAAAACTCATCTGCTGTTTCACAAAGAGATGCAAATACACTTTTGGCCCTCTCACATGAGAGCAGAAATCCAAGATAAACACCTTGGCCTGAAAGAGCTCTGCTAAACATTATGGGTACTTGCACAGCTTTTCACATCTAACATACAATGATCCTCCTCAAATTCTCATAGAAAGATAAGAAAGAAAGGACACAAAGTTGTAACACACCTCTTTTCAAACAGAACTGTTGACAATAGCCAGCATGCACCCTTTGTCATGGCATGCAGCCAAAACCACCTGTAAGGAAATCCTCACCTACAAGACATAATCTTTTCTGGAAGCATTTCCCATCAGTACCACCATAGCTTCTCCAAGGATACAAATACATATACCTGCACACTAAAATAGAGAGATTAGATAGGCCCTGCTGACTTACTTTTTCAAAGTTAAATTCTTGTTTCTCTGCATTTTTCTCTTCATCCACTGCTTTGGTCTATAAACAAAATAAATAATTTTGAATTAATATAACAACACCAGTTTCAATGCTGATTGTAATAGTCTTCTGGAAAGCAGTGAAATGTTAAATGATTTGTAGGGAAGAGATGCAGCTTTCCAGCAGTATCTTCTTCTAGGTTTATTACCTGGAATTATCAAAAGACACAGTCTCAATGGCATTTTTAATATATAGATATTATAGGGTCTTACTGAAACCACCTTGCACAATTTATAGGGTGTTACTACAGCACAGCGTGTATAGCTTTGTCCTGCATTTTCTTGCCTGGATGATGTGCTAACACAAAGTATTTCCTAATCCAGAAAGATACTAACGGCTATAATTAACTTTTATACTTTCAGTTACAAATTACATTTTCTGAGAGAAAAACTGACACATATGAGGTAAGCATCATGCATATTTCCATTTCCGAATCCATACCAAACTGCTAATGCAAGCCAGGGCATGAATTTTAAGTCATTCTGTTTGAGAAGGAGAACACAGGGGTAATAGCACATGTACTGATAGCTGGTGGTGACAGGCAGAACAAGCTTAGTTTGTAACTGCAAGGACAGATACCCAGATATATCCAGCTAAATTAATGCAAGAGAAACAGCTCCAAATGATGCACTGTCAGCAAATGGTAAACTCCACTTAATGCTGTTTAAAGGAACTACTTGCTCAAAATGAGATCAGTGAAAACTACACCTTTTCTGCTCCCTGATGTAAAAAGAGACCTTCCATCAGCAGTACTCGGTTTGGAGAGGAACTCTCCAGGGAGGACAGACCTTATCCTAGGAAGAAAAAAAAAGTGCAAAATCCCCAGAGATAGCTCCATACCTGCTTGGTATGAGAATGGCCCACATGCGACACTTCAGAGCAGTAGCAAATATCCCAGGGTTATTTTGGATTGTGCCAGCTCCTGATTTCAAGGAGGATGTGCTGAACCACCTCTCTGAACAGATGCTCTGCCTGCTCCCAAGCATGCTGATCCAGGTGGGGAAACAGTGGTCTGTTCAAAAGTAGCATGCGCTTGTCTTTCCCTAATTGCTCTCAAGGGCACTACCCTCTCTAAGGAAGCAGGAGTATTAAATATGTGTTAAAACTGAACCTAAAGGCTTTTAATGCATTTCCTTTTCACTCTCCAGGACACTGAGTCACATATTCAGATCCCAGGCTTATATCAGGTCTTCCTTCTGCATCCAACAGAGCCAAACCCAGACTTCTCTCCACTCTGCAAAAGTTTATATATAAAGTTGCCCATTTCAATCACACACACACACAAAAAAACCCACAGCTATTTTCAAAACATTTTATTAACAAGCCTAACACCAGTCTTCTGAGGGAGAAAAATTTAAGTTGTAAGAAGTGTAAGAAAAATAACAACTTAGGCCAAATTTGAGAAGAAAATGTACCAGAAAAAAAAAAAAAAAACACCAAAAAAATCATAAAAGTGTATGGATTCAGCCAACTGCTTGGTCAGTCTCTCAAACTTCCCAATTCCAAGGGTCAAACCCCAGATATCAGGAAGTCTCCCTGAATTCAAAATAGCTGAGTTGGCCCTTCAGAGCTTATTTTAGAAGTAGGCTTCTGATGTTATGGTCATAAGCTATAAAATCTGGTGGCCAATCAACCAGCAAAGTACCCTCTGCTCTGCATGAAAGGCAGCTCAGCTTCCAGCAAAGCCTCTCCAGGCCTTCTGCTGTTGAAGAAACTCAGCCACAGGTTTTGGTAGCACAATGGGAATTTAGCATCACCTAACCAAACCAGAGGAGTGAGATCTAATGCCTTCCTCCATTGACCAGCCAAATGGGATCACAGAATCATAGAAGAGTTAGGGTTGGAAAGGACCTTAAGATCATCAAGTTCCAACCTCCCTGCCAATGGCAGGGACACCTCACACTAAACCACGGCACTCAAGGCTCTGTCCAACCTGGCCTTGAACACTGCCAGGGATGGAACATTCACAACCTCCCTGGGCAACCCATTCCAGTGCCTCACCACCCTAAAGGTAAAAAACTTCCTTAAATCTAACCTAAACTTCTCCTGTTAAAGTTTTAACCCGTTACCCTTTGTCCTATCTCTACAGTCCCTAATGAAGAGTCCATCCCCAGCATTCTTCAGATACTGGAAGGCTGCTATGAGGTCTCCATGCAGTCTTCTCCAGACTGAACAGCCCCAACTTTCTCAGCCTGTGTTCATACAGGAGGTCTCCAGTCCCCTGATCATCCCTGTGGCCCTCCTCTGGACTTGTTCCAACAGTTCCATGTCCTTTTTATGTTGAGGACACCAGAACTGCACACAATACTCCAAGTGAGGTCTCACGAGAGCAGAATAAAGGGGCAGGATCACCTCCTTTGACCTGCTGGTCACAATCCTTTTGATGCAGCCCAGGATACGGATGGCTTTCTGGGCTGCAAGCACACACTGAAGCCGGCTCATGTTCATTTTCTCATCGACCAACACCCCCAAGTCCTTCTCCGCAGGGCTGCTCTGAATCTATTCTCTGCCCAGCCTGTAGCTGTGCCTGGGATTGCTCCGACCCAGGTGTAGGACCTTGTACTTGAGCCTCCAAGATGCATGTTCCTTGTGAACAGCTAAGTGGTGGCGTGATACTAGTGAACACTTTGGCAGATCACATCCACACCTACTGACAAGAAGAGAGCAGCACACAAAGTGCTCAGGCACACAAGTAGCCAAGAGGCTTTGCTCCTGTGCATTGACTTCTTGCTGTAGACAGGACTCTTTTCAAGAGTCTATCTGCAGATCAATTTATTTCGTTGGGATAAATCTATTTCAAATATAGGATACTTACCCAGAGATTCTCTAAAATTGGAAGAAAAAAAAGCGTTCAAGTCCTGCCCCTTCTTCAGATGGCCCCTATCAGCAGCACTACTGGAAATCTCAGGGTCGGATGCTGTCAAGCTTTGCACACAGATTGCCGAAGGGTCTGGACTTCCAGGTAGCTGTACTAGCAAGAGGGAGGAAACTAGGCATGGGAGTGGGAATTATGGAAAGTATCCCACAACTTGCAGTGTCAGACCGGGGAGACAGAAAAACTAAATCACAAACATACAGAAACGCTTGTCTGCTTTTAATTGTCACGAGGAAAGGGCATCCTAGTCCAGCCCCTGCGCAGGGGCAAGGCTCCCGTCTGCCTTAAAAAGAAATACCCCGCCCGCCCCCTGCCCGGCCCTACCTGGGCACCGCCGATGGGGGCCGCCGGGGGCCCTTTCCTCTTCCTGCCCCGAAACACCACGACCTCCACAGCCGGCGGCGCGGCAGAGGGCGGCGGGACGGCGGCGGCGGCATCGCCCAGCTCTGCCCGCAGCTCCCCGAAGAAGTCGCGGGCCCCGCGCCGCCCGCCCGCCACCGGCTGCTGTCCCCGGCTCTCCTCCGCAGCCGCCCCCCCTGCGCTCACCCCGCTGTCCTCCGCGGCGCGCCGGGCACCGGCCTCCTCACCTGCGGGCGGAACACATGCCCCGGGTCAGCTGTGCGCGGCCGCCGTCACCCCGCTCCAGAGGGAGAACGCGCGACCCCGCTTCACCCCCCTTCCCCGCCTCCGGGGAAGGCACCCCGTCCGCCCGCCCGTCAGCCCGCTCACCCACCCAAATCGTAGAGGGCACCGAGCACCGCCTCCAACCGACGGCATGGCTCCCGCGACCCCATGGCAGGCGGAAGCGCGTTTGATCCCAAGCGGCTCCCGTCGCCCCCAAGATGGCGCCGCCCATCGCGCGGTGCGCCCGCCCTCCTCCGCGCCTGCCGCAGCGCTCCGGGCAGCCGAGTCGGGGCGGTGCGAGGCAATGGGTACCGCGGGAGGTGGCCGCGGCTGGGAGGCCACCGAGACGGGGTAGGGCGGCTGAGCGGGGCGCGGGGCGGCGCGGAGGAGCGCGCAGGACCATGGCAGCGGCGACGGCGGCAGCGGCGCCCGGGCGGGGGCGACGAGGGGCGCCCATGTACTTGGTAGGCAGCGTCGACGAGCGGGGTGCGGTGCCGTCGGGGAAGGGGCTGCCTGCTCCCCCCCGTGCCGGTTCTGCTCACTCTGGAGCGGAGTAACGGCTCTTGGCGCAACCCTTCTTACCCCTGGCTTGGGGGCCGCGGTCCGGAGGGAGGCTTGCGGGTGTGTCGCGCACGACTTCCCCGGCCTTACCCCCGGTGCGGGGAAGGGGCAAGCGGCGGCGGGACCTCGGTGCGGGGACTCGGCTCTTCGGGATTTGGGGGGACGAGGCTTCTGCCGGGCCCCAGCCGAGGCAGGTCGTGGCTAGACAGGAACCGGACATTTCCCCTCGCAAGTTCACCTTCACTAGGCGGCCTGCTTCTCCTCTCTGGCTGCTTCCCCAGTACCTGTAGTGTCAGTCACGACAGTCGAAGCCCGATACCGAGCGCTGCTTCTTCCTATATATATGTTGTGAAATGGCAACCTGCTTAAAGAAGATCGGGCTGGTGGTAGCTGGGGCTCTTCTTGGGAGCAGCAGTGTCCAGCAGCACTGCAGCCAGACCTGGAGGAAGAGGAAGGGCCGGTCGGGGCTGTGGGGGTGCCCTGTGGGAACCAAACCTGCCAGAAGCCATGAGTTCAGCGCTACAAAATTGCCGTAGAGATGAAGGGGCAGAAGCGTGCTTTCCCTTGTTACATGATGGAAATGACTTTACTGACCTTGCTGTTTCACCACAGCTCTTGTGCTAGCCTCAGAGAAGGAGATTTGGGTACCTGCATTTGGAGGAGGGGACTCGGGTGAGGGAAACAGCTCCTCATTTAATCAAAGATTCCCAAACTTGTATCTCTTGGCTGTATGCTGGTATCCCAAGTGCATCATGAGCACTCCTGTTGCTTCCAAAGGTTCTTCAGAACCAGAGGAGTGCCAGGCTCCTGCTGTCTTTTGTACTTAACCAGTGTTGCAATAACAGTACCCATAACTGAATTTTCTGCTGTTAAGGCTTCCAGCAGCCTATTTTCTCAGTGTGCTCTCTCTACCAGTCAGCACCTGAAGCTGGAACAGCAGCTTGGCTGTAGTGTGTGAAAGTCTAATTCTTCCGTAGTGGTTGGTAAAGTGTGCGTTTTGGCTCCCTCATCCCTACTTCAGGACAGGGTGTGAAAATAACTATTGCCATGGAGAGATATCAGTTGCACATCAAATCTGTAAACGTCAAGTGAAGAGCAGTGATAGTGAGGTGACCTTTCAGTTGGTCATGGCCTTGGCAAACCTCCACTCACCAGAGCCGTGTTAGGGAATAGCTACAGCAGCGCGGTGAGGGCTGATTGAGTGCTGGGTTTTGTGTAGTTGTACACTGCAGGATTTAAACTTTGGTAAGCATGCCTGGCTTTTGCAAAGCCAGCTAGTTGAAAGATCTGGAAGAAGAAGGATAGAAAACTGATACTAAACCACGGGGGGGGGGGGAGAACACCAAACCTTAAAGTTTTGAATTAATATTAGCCTGGGCTTAGTACCTTTTATAGGACTGTTTTAAAAGTCACTGGGGAGTTTGTTCTGTTGTTACTTTGGGGCAATTCTCTAAGCTACAGTAGTGGAAAGAAAAGTTAGATGATCTACCAAATGCTACTGGAAGATACGGATGGTATCCAAATTTACTACACTGTGTGTGGAAAATAATATGAGAAGGTCAAACACTATGTTAGGATGTATGCTCTCTGATAAAATGAAATTGGCTTTCAGTGCAGTTGAGACTTTGAAGGACTTTTTGTGGTTCTCGAGTGGAGATACTCCTGCTTTTGGGGTTTTGTTTTGCCAAATTATCTTGTCCCGATGAATGGACAGGGGACTGAATGTTGCTCTCTACTTTAAATGTCTGCTGCACTGACTTGCTGATGTGGCTGTGGTCAGCTGGCAGTGAAAGCTAACTTCCTCTCCCAAGGTTAAAAACACTGCTGGGCCCTTATCTTCCCTGTCCCCGGTGTTCTCCCTCATGTTTGCAAGCCAGGCTTTCCTCTCAGCACCAGAAAAGGTCAGAGCCCATGGAACAGCACGGTTTATCCTTCACTGTCAGACTGGTTCTGCACAGGTTGTATACAGCAAGGAGAGGCAGGCAGAATGAATGAAAGGGATGCATGTACTACCCTTCAAGTGGTGCTGCGGAAGACATGAGCATTCTTAGTTTTAGTGTCTTCTTCTAATGAATATGCTTGATCATAACCAATACTGACTGATATCTGCAGCAGGACAGATCTACAATTAATTCTTGATGTACCATTTGATCATTTGACCATTAATTTCCTGCTTAGTGGTGTTGGTTACTCAGAGGCCATGCTCTGTTTTTACCTATGTGTGCACCATGTTGCATTTTGATCTTCACGTGGCTGATAATGCTTTTTTGTTTATTTGCTCCTGACTGGCTGTGTTTTATATACCTATGTCCAGGCTTGCTGAAAGCCAGCACAAATCGCCAAGATCCGAAATATAACTTAAAGTAGCAGGGATTATATTTTTGTGTTGATGATTATGTTTTTATAAGGTCGTTTGTGGCATTGTATTCATGAAGCTGTGAAAGCTGGAATCAAAGGTGATTTAGTTAATACCTATTAATCATGGAGAGGCTGGAGGCAAGGCACTTCAGCTCTCCAAGCCCAGGTATTTTGTCAACTTCCTCCTGCTGGGCAGAATTAAGAAACACGGCACAGGTTGCTGCGGATATCTGCAGCTGGAAAGAGCTAGGGGGTTTGTTTGGGTTTTCTGGTTGTTTTGTTTTTTGGTGTTTTTGGTTTTTTTTGTGTGTGTGTGGTTTTTTTTGTGGGTTCTTTAGTTTTTGTCTGCAACATTGTTCCATTGTTATGCACTCTGAGTGTGGAATGCAGACACTTATAGAAAAGTAAAAAAAACAACCCACCAAACATTGCAAAAGTATTGCATGTTGGAGCACCTCTCCTGTGAAGACTGGCTGAAAGAGTTGGTTTTGTTCAGCCTGGAGAAGGCTCAGGGGAGACCTCATAGCAGTCTTCCAGTACCTAAAGGGGGCCTACAAGGAATCTGGAGAAGGACTTTTTACAGGGCCATGTAGGGATAGGATAAGGGGGAATGGTTTTAAACTGAAAGAGGGGAGATTTAGATTAGATATTGGGAAAAAAACTTTACTATGAGGATGGTGAGGCACAAGAATAGATTGCCCAGAGAAGTTGTGAATGCCCCATCGCTGCAAATGTTGAAGGCCAGGTTGAGTGGGGCTTTGAGCAACCTGGTCTAGTGGAAAGTGTCCCTGCCTGTGACAGTGGGGTTGGAACTCAATGATCTTCAAGGTTCTTTCCAACCTAAACCATGCTATTATTCTATGATTATTTTGGTGCTGTAGCGAAGCAGACCACTGAATGGCTTGAGACAGTGTCTCATTATTTGTTTGTATGTCCCCAGCAGAAGGAGCTCACATCAAAGAAAAGAGATGAGTTTGAAGATATCTTGGAGGAAAGACGATTGTCCAGTGACTTGAGATACGCAATGAAATGTTATACTCCTGTGATCTACAAGGGGCTTTCACCTTGCAAGCCAAACGCTATTAAAAGTGCTGTTCTTCAGTCAGAGCAAGTTCAATATGTTATCAAGCAGGTGAGTCTGGACACTGAGCTGCAAGATGTGGTGGATTTAACACAGCCAAGTTTTGTGTGCCAGCAGGGAAAAAGATTATGGCTGACCTTGTCAAGCATGATAACTGTACTTTGAAAGACGGTCCAATAAATCAGTAACTTGAGAGCTGTGCTCTTTTGGCAGGAAAAACAAATGTTCATTTACCATGGAGTTGCCACTAAAGCTGTTAGATAGCTGATTTATGAAATAGTGTTTTGATTTTGCAACACTTCACCATCTAATTTATCCCATGTGCTTGACTGGTATTTTTCCTTCTCCACTGGCTTTGCACAGATCAGCATTATGAAAGACATAAGCACTCTCCTTCTTAGTAGATGCTTTTGTACTTTGAGGATGTCTTGTAGGAATTTTATAGGCTAATCATGCATTTATGAATCAGTCATGAATGCACCTTCCCCAAAAAATGAGAGTTAGATTTCATAGAGAATTCTTTAAATTAGAAACACTAAGGTGTAACCATAGGTTCATTTTAATATGAAAGGCAGCTACTACTTTGTAATTAATAAAGTATTTTATAGTCAAACAGGCGTATATTTTACACTGTGTTGAAGTGGCTGCAGTAACAGTGTGTGTGAGTTAGCAGAGTAATTATTCCCAATATTAATGAAAAATAATTCCAGGCCAGTAGAGGTATGTGACATACTGTGGGGAGTCCTGAGTGGCTACCATAACATTTTTCTTTTTCTTTTTTTTTTCTTTAAATGGTCAGTGTTACTTATGCTATATCAAAGCCTGTTACAATGTGACAAAATGGACCATGTTCTACAAAGTAGTCCTGTTGCCATCATGAATTGCCGAGTTGCATGAGATCAAAAAACCCGAATCTTTCGACTTTAGAAACACTAAAACATTAACTGAAAGAACATGTTTTACAGAGATTTTGACAGAAAGACATTTGTGTGACTTTTTTTCTTCTGAAGTGCTGCTTTTTTGATGAAAAATGATTTTTATGGATATTTTCCTGGCTTGCATCAAGTGGGTGAAGGGAGTTTAGCAGACCTGCCATTGCAACCTAGTTACCAGCTTTGCACTAGGGATTACTGGAAGTACCTAACTGAGACTATCTTGGGCAATATGCCCAACACTGCAATTAGTGTGCCTACTGCCTGGGCAAGGTTTAAAAAGGCG